TTTTGCCACATTGAGGTTAATTTGTTCGGTTTCATATGCAACGTCTGTGTGGCTGACATTCATTTTCCCTGCTGGGGCACAAATTTTTTCCTTCTTTTAATTTTGTGCCAGTTTGTCCAGCGGATTTGAGACTAAATGCGTACAATATCGTGGAGCTCTTTAAGCACAATGTGAGGCTGTTTACTGGCTCATGTGCATTTGATTTTGCACATGATCAAAGTCAGAAAACAACCTAACTTAGCCTTAGAGTCATATTCCTTTAAATTTAAACTATAAACCATGTGGCAAATTCTTCCCACATTTTGCAGCCAGCTGACATGCAAAGCCCCAGATCAAACAAACTATATATGTTCAGCACTGTGTAGAAATGCCCAGCAGTTTAACTGATCTGATCTCGGATCTCATAACATCCACAACTCATCCTTGCAGCCGGATGGGTTCACTAAAAACGCTTTAAAGACGCTTTCCTTTTATCCTAATAGGTTCCATGTGTCTTCACTAATAGCACTGCTGGTGCTGATACCTTGTCCTTGCAGACATTCATGAGATTAGTGAAATCAGAGCTGTGCATGTAGTAAAAACATGTGCATGGCTTGACACAAATCAACCTTATGGACAGTTTAATTTTGAACGGCGTTGGAGATCAAAAAAGATTCTTCTTTTATTTAGCTCAGACCTTGTGTGGCTGCAAACACCCCAGAGGTAACTTGGCCCGTCTGCAACCAAACAAACAAAAAAAACAAACAAACTAACTAAACAAGCATGAATATTAGCAAAGATATAAAGGAACATCTTTGAAAAATCTGTTTTATATTTTACTTTTGTAGCAATTAATACATATTAATTATGACCAATAAGATGTGATATTCCATACAAATATGAAATATCAGTCTGATTGATCTTTGACTGTTTAATCAGAAGATTCTAAGGTTGTTTGCTTATTCAGGGACCATAAACACACTTCGTATTGATTCAGACAGAGTCAGTGTATAGTTTATAAAATGAATTTAATTCTTTTTCCTAAACTAATGATACATGACAAAATATGAATAAGGAGATGTGGTGTGGTGGATGTGAAGTGTTGTGATGGAAGCTAGATGTGTCATGACCCGAACTTAGAGGACCCGTGAAGACACCAAATACAACAAGACAATTAACAGTCTATGAGCCTGAAGCTATGAGGAGGTGTTACCGGAGTCATACTCAGGCAAGGGCAGAGTAGAAGGCAAGCGTGGGTCGAAGCCAGATCAGGACGAAGCAGGTACAGGGAGCAGGCTAGAGACGTGGTCGTAGACAGGCGAGGGTCGTGGTGGCAGGCAGAGTTCTTGGCGATGTTCAGACGTGGAAACGAGGTCGAGAGGCTACGATCAGGCAGGATAACAAAAGGCTGGAAGATCTACTAGCAGGGGTGTTCAATAATCTGGCTGAGTGCTGGTGGTTGACTGTGGAATATATAGCTGGTGAGGCATCACAGAACGTGTGTAGCCAGGGTTATTTGCTCTGGCTGTGCATATGGACTGTGGGATCTCAAAATCAGTCCATTTGGTGACGTTACAGTGAGTTGACTGTGGTTGCTGGGGAAACGGGGCCTGGCTGGAGCTTGATGAGGGGACTAGGTGTGATGCATGAAGGCTGATGAGTTGAATGATGGTGCATGGAGGTCAGGGCATGGCAGTATCATGACAAGATGTTGTAGCAACCGTTCTCTGTATCTGAGAGAAATTGTGAAATATGGGTGTAAAAGAATTAGTTGTTTGTTATAAACTAGAGAGTTGTTTATTTATAAACCTCGTCAGACACCAGTATGCAGGCTTATGATACCCTTGTATGAGTTGCTCCTGGCGGTCCGGATGGTTGCGGTCAGAGTGGTGAGGTCACTGGACGTCGAAACCACGATACTCAGAGATTAGTAGCTTCCTCTGATTTCAGCTTCCCCGGCCATGAGATGCAACCTGGGGTCTGCAGATTAGGCGTGAAGTAGCTCTGAAAAGAGCTGGTGTGTCTGTAATCACTTGCAGCGTCGCAGAAAGGTTTTGACTTAAGGTCAAAGGAGATGGTTTCAAAAGAGAGGCTTCTTTCCCGATTTGGCCGAATCTGGGTTCAGCTGGAAACTGAATTAATCGGGAAGTAATTATTGTTTTATTAAACTACTTTGTTATGATTTCTGGCCAAGTTTGGCCAATCAGAATTTGACAAGTTTCTGAGTATTTACCAACATCCCTCAGAAAGCCTACGCCCTCCTTCAGATACAAAAATCTTTTTAACCTTAATATGTATCTTATTGTAATGTATGAGTGTAAACAATGATTAACTTGTTAAATCAAACACACAGTGATTTGTGATATAAATGGATCATTTGTAAGAACAACATTCATTTCAAAGCCATCATTGATTTAAGCACAGATTATTCAAACATTTCATGAACATCTTGTTCATTCATCACACATGATTATTCACTTATTCAGAGTGAAGAATGTTGACGACTGGCGTTCACACAGTGAGTGCAGGAACCTTGGGAGAGAATGTTTGTTTGAATGTTTTGTCTTCATGGAAGGTCAACACGCGCTTCTGGATTTAGAAGGTCACCTAGAAAGTGGATTTATTTCTGTAGATGAAAGGTTATTATGTTGATCAATATATAGGAGAAACTTGACCCTTTTGGACGTTACACTTTTAAACATGTAACATGGCAACCAGTGTGTTACAATCAATTCATATTAAGTATTTTTTATTACATTTTAAATTAGGATCATTTATGTTCACATTTTCAATAAGACCAGTGTAGGCTAAAGCTTGGTTTATGCTTGACACATTCACTTTCCGCGCGGTGATACGGCTCGCGGATGGAACGCGCTTCACAACTCGCAGCGTTTATGGTTCGTGCGGCTCATCTCTGCGGTGAGCCAATATTCTCCCAAACTGAACGGGGCAGCACGGAGCTCTACAGCATGCATCCAACACTACACCATAGTAGAAGTAGAAACTACTGTTTACAACATGGCATTTCAGCATTTTTAACAGCGTCCTCATCTTTTCCGACAGTGCGAGCTATTTCTCTCCAAGAATTATTAGCAACATGTTGATCACGGTGATCTCTGAGAGCTGAAGCATACAAATGTCTGTATTTACGAACCTCTGCCATACTAGTTCTTGCCGGTCCGCCATGTTTTTCCGCGTCCGTCCGTCCGTCCGTCCGTCCGCGTGGTTAGAAATTTTCCGAGGTGCGCGTTGCGGAAATCTTGAGCCGTGCGGAGACGCGGGGGAGGGGCGTGGTTGTTAAAATGATGCAAAATGACGCGACTTTTCCGCGCGGAGCCGTGCGGACCTCGCGGACGCGTCAAGCATAAACCAACCTTAAGGGTCTACAGTCTGTGGCTCTGGGGCGTTTTGCAGTGGCTCTTTGTGACTTTGATAAGAAAGAACATTAAAATAAATTAATCTGTTTTAAAGGCACACTTTACAGTTTTGCTTGCTTTTAGCACTCCCTAATGTCTGTTTTTAATCCACTGTGGATAAACCAAAAATGAAACCTATCTTTTCGCTGTGGGTTCGTCTTTTTAACACACTTATTCTAACAGCTGAAAGGTCTCTTTGGCCTTCATCGGTTTCTACAGGACCGATCATCACTAAATAAAACAAATCAGCTTTGTTTACGATCTAAAACATGTTGGAAATGTGAGACTCCAGCTCCACCATGTCTGCTCCATCCCACAGTTCCCTCCACCAGCAGGGACTGGCGACTCGGAAGTTGCAAGTGCAATATTCTGGCCACAGGGGGCAGTGGGGGTCTGAGTGACAGTTCTTATTTAAATTAATTCCTTGTCATAATGAAATATCGGCAAACCCTAGTTTTATGCTCACACTCATCATTTATTAGTATGCGGTTTATCTTTTAGTATTTCAATCTGGGATCCTTGTTTTACCACAGAAGTAGTTCTGTTTCAATCTTAGAGGAAAGGAAATATGTTTTGTTTTTTTTTGCATCTTTGAAAGTCTTTCCTTTTGTTCTAACACAAATATCAATAACTGTCCGTCTATAACTTATTAACGTTCCTTAGTTTAACAGTGTAAGCAACTATACATGTTTATATGTAGTATCGTTGCTTAATACATTTTTATTTGTATTAAAAGCTTCAAAAAGTTTTTGATGCTCTGGATGAATGTAAAAGGGAAAATGGGGTTTGTGTTTGTAAAGGTTATGTAGGCCTTCATAAATAAAGAAATAAGAAGTATTCTTTATTACTGCTCACCTTGTTAACCCTAGTGAGGTACAGGTGTTAAAACCGTGGAGAGCTTATTATGTGGTTTGCTGTTTCGGCTATTTTTATTTATTTGTTTGTTTGTTTAAAAGAAAGGGAACTGAGAAAAACAGCATCTCTGTGTCTGTTGATGGCTTCAGATCCGCTGTAGGGCTGGCAGACACAGTTAGACAATTTTTCATATGTTTCCTTTTAGTCTTTAGTCATATTCTTACTCACTGTTTGATGTGTAAATCAGAAATGGAGTTGATTCAACTGGTGAGCTGCTGAGACTGTAAAATTCTCCTCCAACCTCAATACCAAGCAAATAAAAATACAGACATCTCAGCCAGAAAGGGAAAAAAAAGCCTTCTCTGAACAGCTGTTTCTGTGCGCCTCCCCCTGCAGGGCTGGCATGAGAAGTCTGGAACGCTACAGTCCTATGAATAATGCTTTATTCATTCAGAGGAACATGTTTCTGGTCATTAAAACAAGCATGGAGGCTTTTTGAGTGATATGTTCCAGACACCGTGAATCTTTTGGTGTGTTTATTGAATTTTTTTAATCTGTTCTGACCAGAAGTTGACCCGTTTTTTTGGAATAAACTGAGTGATAAATCTTAAAGCCCTACTGTAGATTTTAGTTTTAGATGTTTTGCATCACTGAAACTAGTTTTGGCAGCAAAAAAAAAAAAAAAAGAATTAACAATGAAAAAGAATCATGACATGAACTTATTTATTGTCTCTTATGTTTCTGCTCTAGAATCCAGAATCCCTGGAGTTGTCCATCCAGAGCGCCCTCTCGGCCCTCTTCCCACCTTTTGAGGCCACGGCGCCCATCGTCCTCAGCCAGCTGTTTCGCACCATTGATGAACGTTATCATGGCGACGCTCTGCAGTGTCTGCTTGACTTTCTCATTCCCTCCAAACACTTGCTGGAGAGTGTCCAACAGGCTGCGTGTGTGAGTATGAACTCACTAAAGAATGGTTTTATTGACACCTAACTGCAAGCGTCTCAGACACCAGGCCATTTTCATTATTGGAACTCCTGGATAATTTTACTGGACCTGTGTGGCATGCACGTGTCTCCATTTGATTGGGCCGGCCCAAAATACCCAAATTCCATTCCATTTCTGGGACCAACCGAGTACCTGAACAGGGTTGTGTACTTGGAGATGGCCTGGTAGAGTCGCTGGGGACTTGGTTGCGACTCAGTGGGAAATTTTATCGGCACATGTAGCCAAATCACCGGCATTTTTAAAATTTGAAAAATTGCTGGTGTAGCAAAATGGAACATAAAGTATAATAAGCAGTGCTGATGCTGCTTTAGAGTCCCAACGCCAAAAAATGTGGCTGAAATCTCTCAAAAACATTGTAACCCAATTATGTAACATTTAGTAACAATAAAGAAAGCCAGGAGAAATTACTGAGCAAGTCACCCCAAATGACCTTTTTCTCTAATATTATACTGTATAATTGAGTGGCTAATAGTGCTGTAGACACGTGTAGTCATTATTTAGGCTTTTTATTGCTGCTACTGAATTACATGGAGGCACTGCACTTCAGCCAAGTCTCAGCCACGCCCCCAGCTGGCCTGGCCGCTCGCGAGCCGATACAAAACGATACGGTTCAGAGCCGCTTTCCTCTTTCAAAGCAAACATCTTCCTCCCTTTCTTCAAGTGAATGAGGTAAAGGGAAAATCTTCCAGTGTGCTGGTTAACAGCTCGTTTGTCAAATGTAGAAACTCAGAAAGCGTACGGATGGGGGTCTGAGAAGGGATGCTGTCAGCCAGGTGACACATCCTTTTGGTGCATTTTTCTAACAGGAAATGTGAAGTAAGACTCTGGTAGGGGGTTGACTTGATCTTTACATAAAAACCTCAGTATCATCCCGTATTAATGAGCTTTGTCCTTGTTTTCAGGCTGGATACTCTGACGTGGTTTTCCGCTGTGAAGGCTGGCCTCTGTGTCTCCACGATAAAACCGTCATCCAGCTGGCCTCTGTTAACCCTCTCCTGTTGCGTCCCGGAGACTTCTATCTCCAGGTGGAACCTTTTGGTGACCAGGCAGCAAGGATTGTCCTGAAAACTCTCCTGGAGGAGGGATGTCGAGAAGTTGAAGAGACCCCAGTCCCTGAGACGTCCTACCCTGTACTCTTCACTGAGGACTGGCTGCAGGACATCAACAAAGGGCGCCAAGGAACATCTCTGTCCCGTTGTTTGCTTTCCACAGATCAGGGAGTAATCAAGCTGCCTTGGGATAAAATCACCATCCCAGAGTTTCTGGACAAGCCTAAGATCATGCTCAAATGTGTTGAAGCACCTTCTGAACCTCGGAGGGTTTCTGCCTCCTCCCACTTTAACTCATCCACCCTCCCAGTGGAGGCCTGGGTTCCCCCATCAGAAGTTAGGATCTCAGCATCCCTGAGACCTGCACACTCCTCATCCAAACTAATTAAAATTGAAAATGAAAGACAAACTCCCAGATCAGCCCCCAAACCGCTAATCAAACCTGTGGGCTGGGTGTCTCCTAACACCTGGGAGAGCCTTAACTCTAGGGAGATGGAGGGAGATTATGTAGACCTGGTGGAGATCGCCAAAGGGAAGGAATTTCTTGACAATCGTATCAATCCACCCAATCCAGTTTTGGTGAAACCTGTGAGACCGCCCCCACCTATACCACTTGGAAACAGTGCCCCCTGTGGACGCAGCCTTTGGTGCACGGGTGAGTCCTGTACGCCATGCAACCAAAGAACACTGGAGCTGGAACTCACTGATCAAGACTTGAAGTGTCGGTACAGAGACTCTTACCTAGCTGCACTGAAAAACCCTGTCCAATTTGAGAAAGGGAATGTGGACCTCCTGTCTGCCTTGGAGGAGGTGAGACTGTGTGAAGACGGCGTTGAAAGAGGTACATTTGAAACCCGAACTAAAGAACACATGGATAACCACTCCAAGGAACGCAGTCAGCTGTCAGGGGTTGTGTGCCAAATCAATTCCAGTAGTGAATCTAAAAATCTCACAAAGGACTCACCTTTGGTTTTAAAATCATGTTTGAGCCAAAGCAGCAACTTGTTTCCAACTGTACTCATTTCTGAGCAGGCTAGACATGCTGCCTGTGTCCACCCAGTATCGGACATGTCACTGGCACCCTGTGACGGTGATGTTAAACCACACCAGATTGTGAAGCCATCAGGGAAACACAAAGTCAAAGTGAGGTCTTTGTCCACTGTGTCAGAGACTCCCAAAGGAAGTCCTGCTCTCTATAAACTCAACAACAGGAGCCAAAGCGATGTTTGTCCCCAGGCAATCACAAGCATAATCCAGCATGAAAAGAGAGAAGTGGATCAAGTAGAAGGACAGAGACACTTTAGGAAAGGTAAGCAGTGACATGGGTTAAATCCAACATCATTTTTATGCATTTACGCTTATCTACTAACCTAGTGAACTAGACCAAATTCTTGCTTTGCAAAGTTTGGTCTAGGAACGCTCCACTGGAACCTCTGCAGCCCCAACATCATTCTGGCTGGCCAATCACAGCTCTCTAGAGGGGTTTCAAACACATAAAGAGCTGTGATTGGTCCATAATGGTGGGCCAATCATAGTGCTCCATCTGCTTAGTGAACAAATCACAGAGCTTTATCTGCTTTGTGGGCCAATCAGTGCACTCTGTATGCCTGGTGGGTGGGATGATGCAACAGAGTGAAACAAGAGTATGTCACATTCATTGTCCAGTGGAATGCGGAGATCATTTGAAAGACAACGGTAGAACCCGCCCCACAACCGAGAGCCGTCAATGGAGCGTTGCCAGACTAAATAATACATTTATTTAGTCTGGCTTGCCAGGCTACTTATATACAACACCCTGCTGTGACCTTGCCTGTTTGAGGGTTTTCCTCAAGGTCTCGCATCATAAAGATTCATCAGTTCAAAAAGTCAGAGATCAGACATTAAACTGATCTCCCAGATCTGTCTGAGCTTTCTGGCAGCACGCTCACATGCACGTCATTCCTCTTATCAAGGGAGTGAACGGAAATAGCACACTAAAACAACAACAACAGACATTCATCTAATGGAGGGAGATGGCAGGATGTTTCTCTGTCCTCCACACCCGTCTGCATAGACATGCATGTCCACACAGGGGAGAGCTGGGGTCTTGAGTGGTGACGTGCTTGTCATGCACTATTGAAGCGGCAGATAGAGTACAGACGCAGCTTTGTCGGCCCCAAGAGGACGATAATTAGGATGTCTGAAGTCCAAGATGAGCCGAGTATCCCGGCTCTTGATGGGTCAAGTTGTGGAGACTTTGTAAAATGTTTAGAGAATGCCTCTGGTTGGTGGAATTTGATTTGGTGAACGGTCTGACTGAACCCAGTAAATATAGTTGCTGGTCTAATAGGTTAAAGGGATACTTTAGCAACTTTTCATATTTTAAAGCTTTTTCTTGAGCCGGTGTGGGCTAAAATGACCCTTTACAGGGTCCCTGCTGGTGGGGGGAGCAGTGGACTGGAGTGGAACTGACATGGTGAAGCTGGAGTCTGCTTCCTGCATGTTTTAGATCGTGAACACAGCTGATTTGTTTGATTTAGTGATAAATCACTCATGTAGAATTTAGTGAAGGCCGAGGAAACATTTCAGCAGATGTTAGAAAGACGAACGCACAGCGAGGAGATGAGTTGCATTTCTGTTTAACCTCAGTGAATTAATAACGGACACTAGGGGGTGCTAAAAGCAAGCAAAACTGCAAAGTGCGTTTCCCTTAGCAAAAAGTAGTAAACTTGAAGGTCATTTTATCAAGTATGCTTGAGTATAACTATACTATGGACCATGTACTAGAGTACTAGAAAATATACCATTAATACTTCTTTGTACTAAATTGGAACATTTTAAAAATTATTTAAGTAAACTTAAAGTTGACTTGTAAAGGATCATTTTAAGAGAACAAAAGTACACATTCAATTATATAGCAAGTATGCTCCTCTATGTACTGCTATATACTTAGATTAGGATAATGTATTGTTACTTAGCATCAAATATGTGAAAAATATACCAATATACATGTATAAGCTGTAAGTATAAGTGTTAGTCATAGTATTGATGTAGTCAGTCGAAGACTCGTGTTTATAATTTTTAATATAATAAAAGTAAATCAAATGCCATATAAAGTATTCAGGCTCCTTTTTAGTACAAAATAAGTACATCATGCTTTTTCTTCAGATTTTCCTCCTGTTTTATATTTTAATTCTCACCATTTGAACATTTTGTTCACCAGCAGATTCAAGCAGAGGTGAACCTCCAGCCAGCACAAATGGACCAGAATCCAAAATGTCAGAAAATCAATTTTCTCCACATGTTCAACTTCCTGCAACAAACTCTGGCTGTCAGCAGCCTCCACAGACCAAAGAATCCGGTTCCAGGAAGATCCGCAGCCTTCTTGAACTGGGCATCATTTGTTTACCAGGTAACCAGCACCAATGAGTCTGCTAGTAAATAATCAGGATGTTTTCACTTTAAATGCCCCATTGTTGATTTTTCAAATAGATTTGAAATGTCTAAAAATATTTTATGCATAGCCAGTAAAGCTGCGATGATGTTTTTAATTTGTCATTTGCATGTGACCTCAGCTGCTGAGAGTTACCGCTGAAACTCGTAAAACTAAAATACGGTGCAAAAGTTTATTTATATCAGTAATTCTACTCAAAAGGAGAAACTAACATATGAGACAGACTCATTATATGCAAAGCCAGATATTTTAAACTTTTATTTGTTATAATTGTGATGATTGTGGCTTAGAGCTGATGGAAACCCCACATTCAAAATCTCAGATGATTAGAATATTGTGAAAAGGTTCAATATATAGACTCAGTGTCATGCAGCAGTCAGGTCATGAATGCAGAACACCTGCAAAGGGTTTTCGAGCCTTTAGATCAGGGGTATTCAATCCCAGGCCTGGAGGGCCGGTGTCCAGCACGTTTTAGTTTTAATCCTGTTTCAAAACACCTGATTTCAATCAGCAGGTGATTAACAGGCTTCTGCAGACGCTGATGAGCTGCACAGGTGAGGAACCACTGAATCAAGTGTGTTGGTGCAGAAAAACCACTAAAACAAGCTTTATACTGGCCCTCCAGGAACGGAATAAAATAACCCTGCTTTAGATGGTCTCTCAGTCTAAAATGAATTAATGACATAAATTGACTTTTGCATCATATTTTCACTCTTCCAGTTTCACTTGTAGGTTGAAGCTTTAAATTAGTTGTTTATATGATTACTTTTCACACACAGGATCATTTTGGCACACACACACACACACACACACACACACACACACACACACACACACACACACACACACACACACACACACACAAATGTATTTCAGATTTCAAATCCTGACTTCTGCATGCAAACTGAAAACCCTTTTTATTCTTTTTTTTTCTGGCAAAACCCTTCACTCTCTGGTGTGTTTAAGAAATTAAAAATAAATAATTTTATGTTTCCTGCACACAGGCAGCAGGGACAGGAACGGTAGGGCAGTGGTGGAAGTCCATGGAGACAGGAAGGAGTGGATGTCCCCTCTGGTGACAGCACATAATGTTTGTGAACTACTGCTGTATTTACACTCCTTACCAAGGTACACAAGTGTTTCATGTTTTAGATAGCTTTTTATGGTTTTAATGAAAAGATGGTTCATTTTAAACTCTCCCTGCATCCTCAGATCAGGACATTTGGCTTCCCGTCTCCATAATGATTTACTCTTTTCTACTAAGACCTGTTTTCCTTTTTCACACAGACTTGTCTCCTTAAGAAAAGATAATAAGATTAATCATTAACACGGAAGATTCACACCCAATAGCAGCACACACACACACACACACACACACACACACACACACACACACATATATATATATATATATATATATATATATATATATATATATATATATATATATATATATATATGAAATCTAACCTGGTAATCACATGTTAATTAATGGTTGGGTTGTGTATCCTCAGTGCTGACTGGATGACAGTCAGGATACAATGATGTTGCATCCTGGCAGGTGGTGGTAGGCAGATTTAAATTAGGACAACCTGGACTGGTTTTTTAATATATTTATTTATTTATCGATTTGTATTTTTATTACAAATTTCCCAAAGCAATGTTTGGTTTGTGAGTTCACAATGTTCAGCTTTTTGCAAATTACTGGTTTAAATAAAACGACACATTGTAGGACAGTTTGATCCGTGCCCTTTAAAGACAAGCGAAAGCACCTGGTGCTCCTGATGTTTTCAAGGGGATCTACATGCAATTATGAGTATAACCAGAAGAGGGCAGCATATTATTATTCGAAATCAAGAGTCTAGTGAAAGTTTTGACCCATAATATATTTGCATTATCAATGCTTTGCATATTTCTTTGATTAGAGGATTTAAAATGATCTGTTTTCTAAAGTAAGTGAGTATCAAAACTAACACACTTTAAATGATAACAAGTAAAGTTCAACGGACCGTAATTTAAGAGTTTTAGGCGTTTCCATGGGTTTAGCATAGAGTTCTACATTTTAAAGTTATCCCTCCTGCAACCTTGACCCTTCCAGATTAGATCAGAGACATACCACAGCAGTCTGCTGCTGGAAGGCTGCCTGTCAGCTGTCTGGTATGCACAACCTCACAAAAGTTAGCAACCATGTTTGTCTTAGGCTCACACAACAGTCTCTCTACTTAAGAAGAGCCTATTAGGAAGTGACTGTGAGAGCATGAACAGCAGTGTGTGTGTGTGTGTGGGGGGGGGGGGGGGGGGGGGGGGGGGGGCTGTCAAGCCCAAATGAAAAGTAGAGCTATGAAGCAATCGGGTCCCAGCGTGTCCTAACATGATGTTGTGTGTTGGTAGGAGAGAAGTTCGAGAGCTGGGGCTGACTTTGGTCATCAATGCCAGGAAGAAGCCTGTCCCAGTTCACCTCTACAGAGCTCTACTGATGGTGCAGGTTGAATTGAATTTGAATTTATTCAGTCAAAACATAATAATAATATAATCAATAACACATTACATTTAAAGTGACTGAAAAGGCTCAGGCCGAAGCAACATGCTTACATTTACAATATGCCTGACCTTTTTAACAAATTAAACAAATGAATCCACCCCTTTAACACAAATCTGTACAATTTAAGCAAAATAGAAAAGAAGAAGAGAAATATACACCATTTAGTCAAATAAGTTCACAATACTCTTACATTTATAACTTATAAACTCTTATAACTTATAAACTCTTGCAACCATCAAAAATGATCTTCAAAACCATCCTTTTAAACAACAAAAATGTACCACAAGTTCTTACATTTACACTGGCCTTATTCCATAGTTAAACCCCCACCACAGATATACATTTCCTTTTAACTTCTTCTTTTTTTTTTTTTGCCAAAGGAACAATAAATTTATTAATATCTCTAAAATCAGACTTAGTTTCTACACCAGAAAAAAAAGTTTGTATACTTTGTGGAATTAACTTTAATTTAGCTTTATACATTATTTTCATTATTTTATAGTAAACTAAATCATTAAATTTCATAACGTGATTTTAAAAACAATGGATGTGTATGTGCTAAATAATCAGCCTTATTAATAATACGTATTGCACGTTTTTGTAAGAGAACTATTGCACTAACGTTTGATTAGTCAGTCCCCAGACTTCCACACAGTATGAAATGTAAGGTAGTATGAGTGAACAATAAATGATATGTAACGCTGCACAATTCAACATATGTCTTGATTTGTACAGTATTGCTATAATCTTAGAAAGTTTTCCTTTAATGTAATAAACATGCAGTCTCCATTTCATTGTATGATCAATAACCACCCCCAAAATTTTAATTTCTGTCACGCTTTCAATTTCAATATTCCATATTTTTAAGTTAATTTCCCTGTCAAGTTCCTTTTGATTACCAAATATCATAAATTTTGTCTTTTTTAAATTGAGTTTATTAATATCAAACCAGTTTTAAGGATTCCCAATTATTTTTCTATTAAGGGCAAAAGTTTCTGTAAATTATTACCTGAACAACATAAATTTGTATCATCTGCAAAAATCACAAATTTCAATAAATAAAAAACAAGAACACTGCACACACACACACACACACACACACATTTCAGAGTATTTTCTTCTGTAAATTGAATAAATATCAAATTTAAAACTAATTCTCTGAGTAAATACATTTTTCCAGAACATAAACAAAAGTACCCAGGCTAAATGTTCTGACCTACTGATTTTTGACCTTTTTTCCTTCCTTATACAGGAGCAAACGCTCCACACCGTTCACAGCATCATCATGTTAAAGGATAAAGACAACTGTCCTCGACCTGAGAAACATCCTGGTCTGCAGGTCAGAAATCAAAACAACTTTATTATCCATCTTCATTTTTTTATTCTAATTGGCACCAGAGAGGTTTTCTACTGCCTTAGTGAGGCTGTATTTGTGATCTTCATTAGATTGACATGGTGACTTCAGTAAGAGCCCTAAACAAGACGGTGGAAGCTTCTCAGCTGACCTCTGACCTGGGAGGGACGTTTATGTACAGTCATTTCCACTGGCTGCAGTTCCACCAGGTAATAAACAACTTCTCTGACTAGAGTGAAGCTTTTCTGTAGAACTCAGATGATGTTGCTGTTTATTCAAAACTGCACAATTTTTTCAATTTTATGCTTAAAGATATTTGTCTTTGAAGCATCTTTTAAATCCGTATATTAAGGTTCCAATGTGGGGTTGATGGTACTGCTTTGAAGGGCGCGTTATAAATGCATTATAGACCATTTTAATGGGAGTTTTAATTGAAACCTACTATGCATAACATCATCGAATGCTGGGATCTTTTGCAAAGTTTGAACATTTATAGCATTTGTTTATATTCTTGCATTAACAATTGCATTCTGAACCTCAGTTTTTAATCGTTTGCTTTTAAGGACAAACTTTATTGACATTTTCAGTATTTTATGCCAGTACTGTAGTTTTTTTTTTTTTTTTTGTTATTTTGGAATTTGCTCCTAAAGATGATGATTGTCTTCCAGTTTTAGTCCAGTCTCAACCAGATGTTTGTTTAGCCACTTATCAGGTGTGAAACAAGCTTGTAAGATCAGGTTGTGAACCAGTTTTTTCTTTAAACTTGGACACATTTCATTTTTTAAAATCTAATTTATTTTTTTGGGTCTCTGCTGGTGATTTATCACAAAAATAATGCTTGTTCCAATGTTTTTTGGTGGTATCCGTAAGGTCATCTAATAAAGATATAAAAACTTTCCTGCATGGAACAATGCACCACTTGCCAACATTTGCCACATATTTGGCTAAAATCTCCTACGATTCATCTTGCTGATAACGATATATATTTTATTCTTGTCAAAGTGTGTAATCTTTTTCATTTTTCACAGAGAAATTAATTGCTTTAACATGTCAAAAATGGCATTTATTCATTTATTTTGTTCAGCTTCTGCCATCTACAGACAACGATAGTCATTGCTGTGAGTAAGGTGCATTCTTCTTTACTTGAGTCATACATAAATCTGTTTTAAGTGGAAATGGATAAGTAGAGTCAGATTGTAGAAGAGCTGGGAAATAAATTCAAGTAAACTGGGCTGCAGAGAAAAAGGAGAGATAAGGAACTAACGAGGAGCAACTGGGAACCAGTTATCAGATGATTTAGACAATATCGGTGGTATGACTAACAAATAATGACCAGATGTGCAGGGGAAGCAGTAATCTAGATAATCTGAGACCACTAGAGGAAGAACTGAATCAAAAACTGATCATCAAATGGAAAAACGTAAAAGGAACGTAGGAGTTCTATAGTGAAATATCACAGTCAAATGTCTCAATCGTGTTGGAAAGAAGGTTACATTGAATTCAGCTTCTGGCCGGGGGCTGGACTTTCTGGTTGGTGTTAATTTCCATACAATCACTTTAAATTGACTGTTATAATTATGTCTTAATTAAGTCATAATTTTGTTTGTTAAATTATAAATGTTTGTTGTCTAGGCATCAGAGAGCTAATGCAGGGAACTCATTTACTCCATGCATGTTTTATGAACAAACGTTTGCGGTTTGCAGGATTCCTCTGGGGTTGCTATCCGTGCTCCACTTTATTCAGTCTTTTGATTCAATGTGTACACATTCATTAAACTGCATGACTTTTCTGTCTCATTTTTAATTAATTCAGAAACTAGTATCTTTCATGGCCGATCTGCGAGGAGCCAACAGTTTGCTGCATAATGCCATCAAGAAGGTAGATAGCAGAAAACAGATGCACGCTGCACAGGTAAGATACATTTATGCTGTGATGTTCTGGTGCAGTTTCGTGTCACATGTTGACTTTTGTTGTGCTTTCACCACAGGAAGTGCAGGAAAGCATTCAAGAACAAAGGGTTTTAATGAAAGAGGTACTGGAAGATGCCGGGCTGGTAACTCTGCAAAAGGAAGGAGGGACGCTACTGGCCAGGATGAAGAAGGAGGAGTTCAGATTCTCACAATCAGAAGATTACAGGTATCAAATGTATCATTTAATTGCACATTTATCACCGCAGCACAGTGATTAATGAACTAATCACATTGCAACATAATCCATGTGGTTTGGTGTGCTAGACAAGTCACAAACCATCTTTGATTTCTTAATGTTTTTCTTCGTTCTCTTCTATTGAGTCAGACTTTTCATAATCTTTCAAAGTGGTCCTCCTCAACACTTTTTCAGGCTTGTCAGATTTTTCACTTCTTCTCAGTTCAAAATGGTATTTTAGCCCCAACAGGTTGATTCTCTCCCAGCTTTCAGCTGAAAACTTGACTGGCAGATGGATCCAAATCCTTTTTCAGGTCTTTGATTAATTTCTTGCACTCATTTTTCAAAGGCAGAACATTCTGCTCATTTTCTGAAGATGCATTTTTTAGTCTTCTTTTGTCTTCCATTTGTCCACGTTTCTCATTTTGAAGCACGTGCTGCACAAAGTGCTGTCTTAACCAGGTAATAGACTGGGTGACAAAAGCAGCCGAGGTCTGAGAAAAAAACTTTCATTAACTATTTATTAAGATTATTTATGAATAACTTTAAACTTTGTGATTACATTCTTCTTACCTCAGAGAGTTTTAGGAGCGACCACTGTTTCATAAGCTTTGAAAATCTGTAAGGTTCTCTGTTTGTGGCTCTTTTTTGACCTCCAGCCAGATGTGGTGCAGACTGAATATCATGAACCTTTTTTAAATGAATGTTGGATTTATGAGCTTTTTTCCTCCCAAACTTACACAACTTATCCAAAATAACTTGCAGGAGAGCTGAAGCTGCACCAAGTCCAGTCTGAACACTCCTACACAGTTCTGAAGAAACGGTGACTCCTAATCTGACACCAACATGAAAACATCTGTGTGGGTTCATGATAAACAGAGATGAAAAGTCCTAGTCTCTGTTTTGCATCTGGGTTACAGTCCCGATAAAAGGTTTAAGTGGGCAAAAATCATATTTTGCATGGTTTGTTCTTTAAAAGGTTCCAAGTCGAGCTTTAACATGCAGCTTTGAGAAATGGGAGTGAGACAAGGGAACATTTATGATGCACACACTTAGTAAAACACATATCTGATCATTAATCACTGCATCTGGTAATAATTTTTTGTTTTTAATAGACATAGCTGACGTTAAATGAACTATAAATTCCTAAAGTGTTGCAGTTCAAAGCCTTTTCTATACTGTAGTAGTGTGAGTTCTCATGGTTAGACCTGTTTGTCTCCTCTTTGTGCAGAGATGCTTTGGAGTGCATGACAGATCTGTACAACCAAGTGGAGGAGAAGCTGCACATGTTGGTGATGAGATCCAACGAGTCTCTGCAGCAGCTGGAATTCCTCCATAAACTCAGAGAGACGGAGGCCAAAATCATCTCGGTAACTTTGCTCCTTTCAGTCTGAGCACACTTTTTTAAAATGCATGAGTGCAGATACGTCCAAAGTTCTGTCATGGAATTCTGTGGTTACGAATAGCAGTTTGTTTCGTCCATGTTTGACTGTTTTTAGTAAACTGTTAGGAGGAAACGCCAAATAACTTCTGTCTGTTTCACAGGTGGGGACGTGGTTCAGTTCGGAGGGCGAACAGAGCCTGAAGAACTGTGAGACAATAGATGACACTCAAGTTGGCACTGAGAAGATCTTACAGGACTTTAATCTGCTGCTGAGTCACTCCAAGGTAATAAAACTCATCCCTGTTTAGTCAAACTCTGCTAGTTGGTTTAGTTTCTTCTCCATAACTACTTTTTCTTCTCATTATCCTACATATTTTTGTCTTATCTCTCTCACACACACACACACACACACACACACACACACACACAGTGGGGCAGCAGTAGCTCGGGGGTAGAGCGGGATGTCCAGTAATCGGAGGGTTTGAGGATTGATCTCAGCTTCCGGCGGAGAATTCTGCCATTGTGTCCTTGGGCAAGGCACTTAACCCACCTTGCCTTGTCGGAGGGACCAGTATTCGGCAGCTTAGCCTCTGTCTGTGCAGGACTCCAGGACAGCTGTGGCTACATCTCATCACCAACAGGGAGTAAATGTGTGTGTGAATGGATGGAGGACTTATTGTGTTGTAAAGCACCTTGGGGGGTTCTAGGAATCTAAGAAGGTGCTATATGAAAAACAAGCCATTTACACATGTAACCAACTGCACGCATATTCATATGCAACTTCCATTGTATATTTTTTCCAACGTGCTTTAAACCATCCTCTACCTCCTTTTGCTGCGTTTTGTACCTTATTTATGTTTTTATCATGTTTTTATGGAATACAGTCTCACCACAGAATATGACTTTTTTAGACAGAGAATTTCTGACATAGAGTTTTTATTCTGTGAATTTGATATATAATATTTTTGTTTGTTTTGTTTACTTAAAACAAACCAGCAAAAAACTAATCTGTACAAATTCAACTGCAGAATTCCATCTTCAGAAGTTCACCAACTGAGGTGACCTCCTGGTGACCCAAGCTAAAGTAAACGTCACTCGATTGAGTCGAGTGGCTTTTAGCAAATCAAAATGTACTTCTCTGATCACGTGACACCAGTGAGGCGCCGACTAGATCAAGCGACATTTGCTTTGGTGTGGTCACCAGGAGAACACCACTTTTGATGTAGAATTTTTACTGATGGAAGTTTTGCTGGTGTCATTTAATTTAAAATAAATTCAAAATACATAATAAAAAAAAATAGAAAAATAAATGTCATGAATTAAAAGTCTAACTGAAACTCATATTCTGGTGACACTGTTTTTCTTCCATATTTTTCTACATCTTTAACCCTATTTATGCTGCAAGGGGGCTCGGTGTTGGCATCATCAATGTTGTCGGGCCTTCGTGGACAATGACAATAAATGACTATTCTATTCTATTCTTAATTTTTGACATGGGATTCTGTCTAAATGTTATGAAAAATAAAATATCTGTTGTAAATAGTTCTTTGAACAGGCTCAGTTTGGAGAAATGAAGATTATCAGGGCAGACTGTTCCTTTTTTTATTCCTTGTTTTAAACTATCAAAGACTGTAGCGTTGAGATTATCAAATGTTTGAGATATCAAAGGTTTTTTTAAAGAATGACCTCATCAAAGAAAGCAGGTACACAAGACAAAGATTTACGCATAATTCACATGTTACAACAAAAGCACAGACAATACATCAATAGTACAAGATTTTTAAGATTTACCGTAGTGAAACAAGATTCAGTAACCAAATCGGCTACACTTGCCCAGTGAGGTGTGTTCTCTGTCTTTTAAGATTAATTTAAATTCATCTATTGACATCTTTATTTCCTTCTGTAGATAATTCCAATAACTTGGAGCTGCATAATTAAAATTCCCCTTTAGCCAGTTCAGTTTAGATTCTGGGACGAGAGCGGACCATGATGGTTTTGGTCAATTAGCATAAATATGTTAAAAAAAAAAAAGATTCTGTTACAAATAATCCTTGAAGCTAGATTTGATCAAATAAACCAGAAAAATGACCGGACTGAATTTTAGAGGCGCATGCATGAAAAAGGGAGACAGCATATTTTTACCATTGAGGCTTTGAACAGTTGGTGTTATACACCTATGTGACTACTAGGTAGTCTATGGGGTTTTCCAATGTAACACTCAGTTACAAAATTATTTAATACGCTGCAGCCCAAGAGGTTTTTAGTGATTAAAATTTGGTCCCAGTAAGCCAAAGTACAAAGTGTCTTTAGAAACAGCTCGTGCACTTTTTTATAATCGTAGATTTGTCAAAAATTTTACAAGTCTCAATCATTTAGCAACTGTATAAAAGGTACAGTAGCTGCTCTAAATGCTTCCTTCAACAAACAACACAAGTCTAAGGATAAAATCATGTAGCATGAAAATGTAAAGGCTAAGACAAAAATCATTAAATGCGTGCATAACAATTTTATGAGTTGTTAGGCTAACTAGTAGCTCACCTGTCTGGTCAAACTTATGCGGTATCTGTTTCTCCAAACTGAGGCTTTTCAAAGAGATATTATCTGTTTGCACCTTTTAAAAGACACAACCTTCAAGAGATTAAAACTTGTTTTGGTGTCAGCTTGCACTGATAAGTGTTGGTAACGGAGGACAACAGCTAAATATTTATCATCCCGTTTCAGGAAAAACAACAGCTTGCTTTGAGCCTTGTGACTGAGGCAGGGGAGATCGTTCAGAACGGCGACTCCAGTCCTGCTGCAGACGTTTTTCAGACCCTGGTTGGCACTTTTAAATCTAACGTAGAAGACTTCATGTTGAGGGTGGAACAGAGGAAGAAAGATCTGGAGCCACTGATGCAAATCTACAGTTTCTGCGAACAGGTTTGTAGTTCTGCTGCTTCGGGTTGATAATTTTGAATGATTTGAGTTAAATTCTGAATGCAATATTCTAATATTCTCTTATCTGTGCAGGCATCAGCTTTTACCGAAGAGTGTAGTAGGTTTTTGGAACAGGTAGAGGACGGATGTCTCTCAGTTCAGACCCTAACTACCATCCAAATGTATGAGGAGAAGTTAGATCGTGAATTTTCCCCGAGATGCTTTCAAGCTCTAAAAGCCAAAGCCCGTGCCATGGGAGCAGGGGCCTCTGGGATGATGAGAATGTGGAATGTGGCCTGGAACCAGAGCCAAGGAGTCAAGCAGCGTTTTGAGGAGATGCAGGAGAAGAAAAAAAGCATAGATAAGAAGCAGATCCAGCCGACCACAGCTGCAACCCCTCTAGGGGAACACAGCGGATCAGAGAGGGAGGGGGAAAGGAATGAGCCGGGGGAGGCTGAGAGCTCTCTGATTGTACAGTCAGTCTCTCCTAAAGAAACCGATAATTCTGCAGGAGATTCAAAAGAGCGAATGCATGGTGCATGCAGTGAGCTCAAGTTTGAAACCACAATCAAAGGTAAGGAAAAGGAAGTGCCAAAGGCTCACCCATCTCCAGAAACAAAACCTAAAAATGAGACAGGGACTCTCATTGTTCCTGAACAAGATGATTGGCGTCCAGAGTGTAAACACAGACCCAGAGAGCATCACAGTGAAGCAGATCTGAGCAGCTCTGTGAAAGAAGGGGAGGGTTTTCCATCGCACCAACATCTGGGTCGATCTTTAAGCGATGGCTCGTGTGTGAGGAGGTTTTCTGGATGTTCACCCTTGAGTACAAGCCACAAACACTGTCACAGTAAGAAACACTCCCTGGATCAGAATCTGCCGCCCACCAAAATTCTGCACATGTACCGTAACGAGAGTCTGTGGCCAGGAAACCTGAACTGTGAGTCAAAACAAGACGGCGATGAAGTGGAGGGTGAAGGATGTGTAGCCCCCACCCAGAGGTCTAAAGAGTTAAGGTCTTCAAAGTCATTACTCACACCAACAGAAAATAATGGCGGCAATGTTTTGTAAGTAACTCGTGACCATGTGCTCACCTGGGGTTAGTGAAGAGCTTTGAAATAAATCTAAATGTTCTTACTTTTGGAGCAGAAAAGTCCTGAAGATCTGGGAGGAGCTGCTTTCCACGGAGAGGGAGTACGTCAAAGCTCTGGGTTATGTCCGAGAGCATTACTTCCCTGAGCTGGAGAGAACAGACGTCCCTCAGGATCTGAGGGGGCAGAGGGGGAGCGTCTTTGGCAACTTGGAGAAACTCCACGACTTTCACTGTCACCACTTCTTGGATGAGCTGGAGGCCTGTGTGCATGAGCCCTTCAGAGTGGGACACTGCTTTCTGCGTCATGTGAGTGAGACAAATGTGAACGTGTTGACATCCAGAGTGCACCAAAGTTTACTTGATGCATCTCAAGTTTTTCCACTTGCAATGGTTAAAATGGCGTAACCCTCAAGCTGTCTGCCTGTAATGACTCCGCTCTGCATGACCCATGTGAGCGTAATCCGCTGTACGCCGTATAATGGCTAGTAATATGAAATGGCCTTTCATATTTGCCACGTATAGAATTTAAATTATTTTACATAGATTATAAATATAAATAGACTCAGATAATAGACGAGACCTCCGTGCCGCCACCTGTAGCTCTCTGAAGAGCTGAATTGAAGCCCAGTGGACGGTTCCCACCACCGCCATCTGGGCCACGTCACACATCTTTTCACTCCCAGAAAATACAAAAATGGAGCTGAGAGGGGGGCTGTGAAGGTGTGGTCAGGTAAATGACACCCAACAAACCCTGAGATGATGTAGCTACGAGCTAACTGAGCTAACCCGGAGCTAACCGAAGTTCAGTGGATGCTTTTAGTCAGAAAACCGCAATTCTATGGCTCTGCTACCCTCTGCCTTCCAGGCTGTAACACTTTTACAGTGAGACTGGGGCTGATGCCTTCCCTGGAGCATGCATGGGGGCAATCCACTAGTGCTAAAGCTAGTAAAAGGACATGGCCCTAACTATTCATAATTTCATCCATTTTCCTTCGCTTATTCGGGTTCGGGTCGTGGGGGCGGCAGCCTAAGCAGAGAGGCCCAGACTTCCCTCTCCCCAGTTGCTTGGGCCAGCTCCTCCCGGGAATCCCAAGGCATCCCCTGGCCATCCGAGAGACATAGTCCATCCATTGTGTCCTGGGTCTTCCTTTAGGTCTCCTTCTGGTTGGACTTGCCCAGAAAACCTCACCAGGGAGGCATCCTGACCAGATGCCTGAGCCATCTCAACTGAGAGGGTGCTCGCTGCAGAACTACAAAGGCGGAGCTGCACCATAAGGTGGAGCTGCACCAGAGTCAGCCCCGCCCATTCACGCAAACTCAGCCTAGCCCACTGACTTCCGTTTTTGTTTTCAACTTTATCGCAAACTGACCTGACCCACATGAATTACGGCTGTTACTAGTTTACAGTCGTTAATGCTATATTCTATGCTCCAATTAAACAAGATAAATATAACTTGCTACATGACAAAGTCTGAATATATCCCGAAATAAAAAGGTTTCTCTTAGTGAATATCTGCCCACAGCCGCTCTAACAAAACTCTTGTACAACAGCATGTACCACCACCATGTGGGTTCTGGTAGTCCAGTGGCAAGATCGTCTGACTTAAGATTTGCTTTCCCCTCAGCTGATGCTGGTTCGATTCTCGGTGGGGTCGGCATCAATCTATTTAGCCAGCTGAAACTTTTAATTTGTTCATATTTTAGTTGTAATGTTCATTTTCAACAAAATATTTATGTCTCTAAAAGTTCTTTGAATTTGGTCGTTCCTAAACAGCATTTTAGTTGAAACTCTGCTCACAAATGGACTCACACTGGCTAAATAAACGAATAAATAAACACATTAGTCATTATATGTTAAATGGCATACCAATAAATTGTTGTAAACATAGTACTGGCAAGTGTAGCTAGAAATGAGGATGAGAGATTAAAGAATATTTCCACTGCTGGGAGGCAAACCTGCACAAAACTGCATGTCAACCTGACACCATCACCACTACACCACCACATCTGATAAAAATTAGGTGGCGTTACATTTGATTATGCTATTTGGTGTGTCTTTGTAGATGGGATGTATGATTTTTCTGGCGGTGTCTCAGTAGAAGTCATTTCAGAAATAATTTGTCAGAAAATTCACAGAATATCCAGATTTGAGAACCAAGACCAGACCCGCTTCGGGGGAGGAGACCAAATTGAAGCTGAGATGGGAAGAAAATGCATGAATGAGGCCAAAAATGGCTTTGGCATGTTTCTTATGAGGAAATGACAATATAACATGATTAAAAGTTCCAAAAGTTAGATTTTTAATTATATGGAACCTTTACAAAAACTGTTCAATTCACTTCTCAACTCCGTCCTCAATATTGCATTTTTTAGCTACAACACCCTCTTTGGTTCCAGAATGCTATAAAGTCTGACAACTGGAAGGAATTGGACTGACTCTGATAGAATGGGCGGGGCTGATTCTGGAATGGGCGGGGCTGACTCTGGTGTAGCTCCACCTTCTGGTGCAGCTCCGCCTTTGTGGTTCTGCAGCGAGCACCACTTGTCTCAACTGGCTCCTCTCAATGTGGAGAAGCAGCAGATCTACTCTGAGCCCCTCCCAGATGGCCGAGCTTCTCAACCTGTCTCTAAGGGAGAGCGCAGACATCCTGTGGAGAAAACTCATTTCGGCCGCTTGTATCTGCAATCTCATTCTTCCAGTCACTACCCAAAGCTCGTGACCATAGATGAGGGTTTAAGCTGTAACTACATCACCCCCCTCAGAGGTCTCATAATGGTAAAATTGACCTATTAACCTAAAAAATCTTTTGTACCAGGCTGTAAACATGTTTTTCTCTGCTGCGAAGTTGGCGTTTTTAACGTAGGAGTCGATGTGAACTTGGTCCTTTCTGGAGTAGATGAGGGCAGGAAGTTTTCCCCCTTGTAAATAAAACATAAATAAAAGCGCCTGTGTGACAGTCGTGACATGAAGGTTTGTCTCTTAACTGCCTTTTTGTAAAAATAGTACCAAAAGAAAAATAATTATCTATATTGTTAATCACAATATAGATAAAAACTAACAAGATCTGAGTTTTTGTCCATATCATCCAGCCCTAGTTGAGATGTGAGAAATGATCGATACACCAAAATATAGCATTTTTTGTGTTATGATGCTGAATCAATATTTAAAAGCTGTGTATCGATTTTAGGCCGTTGGGAATTTACATGCAAATATTTACTGTATTCCTTTTGTGTGGTGCAGTAAAACCTCCGACTGCTAGGAGGCAGCGGTTTTTCCTGCCTCCTTTCTGAGGGAACAACAAGATCACATGTCATGGAAGCGCCTGGCCTGAGTTTTCCAATAAAATTCAGTCTTAAAATTACAAATATTATCTTGCTTATTATCACAAAATATTGTATGGTCTCCCCTGTATGTCGCATCGCCAGATTCTTGCCAATACACACTCCTGTTATTGGGTTGTAAATATGCAATAGATGTAAACTCTTGTTTCCCAAGCTAGAGGTGGTATTATTCATCAGAAGCCACTAGATTTTCCAACATCACATAGTAATTTCTCACAATTATCTGGTTTGACTAAAGAATCATGATAAATAAGGAAAATCTGGTGTGAAGAAAGTGCTTTCAGATGTTTGGTAAGTAGTCTGATAATAAATCTTCAGCTTCCAAGAGACCTGGTGCTTTTGAACCTATAATAAAGTAATTATTGTGTTTGCACACCTTGTCTGCAAGTTTGCATTTCAGTGTGACAGCTTTTAGTTGCTAGTCATATGGAGGATAAACAGCTTTTTATTTTGTTTTTTTAGAGAGAGAGTTTTGCTCTCTATGCTCTTTACAGCAAAAACAAACCACAGTCCGACCGTCTACTCATCAGTCATGGAAAGAAGTTCTTTAAGGTGAGAATTGCCCACAGCTGTTGTCTTTTGGTCTCATCATTCATCTCAGTTCAGACCCTTTCGTCAGTTTGTGAATTTCCTGTGATAAAAACATCTCCTATTGTAGGTATTCCAGATCAAAACTAGTGAGTAAATACAAAGTGCAGTTTTCAAATTAGGATTTCATTTTTATAGGTAGAAAAGGTAGCTGAACCAACCAGACCCAATATTAAAAGGTAATAGGAATTTGATATTCTTTGCTGAACTGCTTAAATCCAGGTCTGGTTCACTGAAAAACCATTTTTACGGATTATTTCTGATTTGGTTTCTCTGACTTTTTCATGCAGGCTGAACATGAAAATAGTCTCCTACACCTATCTTGTGCATTAGCTTCTGGTAGAAAACAGACAAAAACAGTGAAAATCTACGATTTGAAAAGCCCGACAGATCTACGTCACACTGTGACTTAGGCTTGCCCATACTGACTCACGACGGGGAAGGCTGCTGTTGCTTTATGGGCTCGACACATGGGAGGCGACAAACGACCGCGATCAGCTAAATTTGTCGCTGTCGCTTTTATTACCTGACACATGGGATGTGACCTGCGGCCAGCAGCTGTTCCATGGCAAAATCGAAACTTCCGTTGTTTTGTTTGGCTGTGTCAGGTTGGAGGGAATTAAGGTTATTTAAGCGGTTCAGAGTTAAAAAAGTGGTAGATGTGATGTTTCACAAGATGCTGCTAGAGTTATGTGAAATCTTACTTCTGATTTTACTATATAAAACATAATAATAATCAACCTCTCCTGCATGGTTGCTCGGAGATGTACGGAGCATCCTGCCTGCTCATTGGTCAATGAATGAAACCTCCGCTAGCATTAGCAATTCAAACACACAACTGAAGCTCCTCCAGGCTTTTTATTTGTGGAGATAAAGCATCCATGTCCATGGTCAAACAGAGTCAGTGGTAGAGTCACGTTACTTTTATCCAATCCGAGGCAAGATGTCTATTCATCAGGGAATAAGACTCCAAGTCATCCAGTTTTAATTGCAGCTCTGATGTCGCAGACTTGGTCCTTCTGGGCCATCGGGGATTTGTGGGCTATTTTGTGCCCTGAGTTCTGCCTGCAAGGCATTCATTGCTACTAGAGACCACAGCAGATGTATTGAATAAACAAGTAATCCACAAATTTAAGGTCGAAGGTTCAATATTATCTTAAGTTATTTTCCAGAAGAGAGCAGAATTTATAGTTCAATTAATAATAATAACCAATTACATCAAGTTCTTCAGGTCCTGAAACAGCACAGCAGCCCCAGACCATCACACTCCCACCACCGTGTTTGGATGTAACTCAGTCTTTTCCCCAAAGTGTGGATCATCAGGATGTTTTCAGTCAATTGTGAGATGGGCCTTCAGTTGTGACTCCCTTAGAGTGGGGCCTGTTGCATTTTGAGACCTTTAGGCCAACTCGATGTTCTCAGACATGTCAGGTTCTATTGAAGTGATTTGTTAATTCCAAAAGTCTGGCACTAATCATGCCTAGGTGTGGCTAATCACAATTCATGCATGATTTAACAAGTATGCAATGACATTTTCCAATAGTGCACTCTTTCAGAACAAACTTGCAAGGTGGTAATTACTCTGAGAATTTAGACACATTTTTATGTAACACCCCCCCCCCCCCCCCCCAATCCTTCCTCCTCAACCTTCTATTCTTCATATCACGTCCCGTGCAGCCCTAATGGACTTCCTCCTCCCAGCATTAATTTTTTTCTTCTGTTGTTCCAGGAAAAGCAGCTGAAGCTGGAGGATAAAATGGACTTATGGTCATATTTGCTGAAGCCCGTGCAGCGCATCAGTAAGTACAGCTTGCTGCTGCAGGACGTGATGAGGGAGTGTGGACCAGATCAAACCAGAGAGATCTCTGAGATCAATGCAGCTCTGGAGGTTATCCACTTCCAGCTTCGCCATGGCAACAACCTGCTGGCCATGGACGCTATCTGCAACTGTGATGTAAGTGAGCTCTAAATGTGTGTTTTTTTAATTTATTTGTTAGTTTAGTGGCAATGTGGATGTCTAGAAAGGATACATTAGAACACTCTGGTTTAGTGCTGTACACAGGAAGTTGGCAGGTCCAATCATAGACATCATACACGTAGACACCATATGGACTGGCTCTACCTACTGGAGCTGGCGTGGCAGCGGGCTGCCATCTTGAATGGGTTCCAATTAGCCCCCAGTGCATTTAATTCTACTGAGGAAGGTGGTTTACCCAACTAAAAAACACATTTAATTACGCATTTTCACAAAGTCAGTAGTTGCCAGTTGTTGCAACCATTGGCTGCTTAAAAACAGGAATTGTTGCTCATTCTGTGTTGACTCTAGTTGGGTTTGGAGAGTGAGGAATCCATCCAGTATGGCGGCGAGGCTGTTACGCTCCAGCGCCCAATGGCACATCTACATATTCATGTCTATGGGTCCAGTCAGCATGATGAAGGCGATGGGGGGGGCATCATTGTCTGCTTAAAATTTCCATGACTATGAAGGGAGTTGTTGTTTGAATTCATTACTGACTCAATTATCAGATGAGGCAAACAACAAAAGTTGAGTTGGAGTAAAGGCGGGCGGACACTGTGCGACTTTTTCACTCGCAGCGTTCAGCTTCAGCTCAAACTGTACGACTTCCTCGCAGGGCAGATCTCACGAGTCATGTGCTCACACTGTATGACCCAGTTCTCGGATGCGACCTGACTGCTCACACTGTACGTCTGGTAGCAACACGTCGGCCCTAAAAATATGCTAAAATAGCAGTTTTTACACAACAAGTCAGACTTTTTTGTCTTGTCTTGCCTGTTGTCCTTCGGGAGTGCTGCAGGAGGACACACATGGATTTATGGGGGTTGGATTAGGAAAACGAAATAAAGAGAGTAAATCTGTGTTTTGTGATCAGTTTAATTTGACATGAACACGACAAACACGCTTTCTTGACAATCTTTGTGAGTAAAAAACGTGTTGAAACAAAAACGAACAACGTGTGTTATTAGGGAAATAGCGGGCGAGCGGTGTTGATGCAGGATTGCGCATGCGCCGTGAGCGGTTCTGATACTTTTTGGGTCACAGCTGCTCGCAGCGCTGCTTCAACAGTGCGATACCCTCACGAGGGACGAGCAAAATATCAAACACTCCAGAAGTCCGAGCGAGCTTACGACTGCTGATCGGCGGCTGGTCACGTGGTATTAATCGCCTCTCGTAACCCCCCTGTACACTACACGACCGCTCGGCGCAAAACTCGCCCCGATCTCGTGGATTCTCGCACGAGTGGAAAATCGGCTCAAAAAAGTGAAAAAGTCACACAGTGTACGCCCGGCTTAACATTGTTTCTTAGTTGATAATCAGCAGATAAAAGTTCAGCAAAAGTTTAATGGTTTTCTGTTCAATCCTAACTGTAGATTTCTGTAGAAACTCGTTCAGTTAAAAAATAAAATCACTTTTAGGAGTATTTTCTGCAGACTTTAGCACTGAAACCCAACATTGTTTTTCCCCCCTTATTGTGTCTCTTAAGGTCAATCTGAAAGAACAGGGTCAGCTCAGATGTCAGGATGAGTTCCTGGTAACATTCAGAAAGAAGAAATGCTTTCGTCATATCTTTCTCTTTCAAGAACTCATCCTCTTTAGCAAGACTAGAAAGACAGATGTTGGAAATGACACATACGTCTACAAGCAATCCTTCAAGGTGGGAATCTTATGCATCATTTGTTCTTACGCAAACACACACACACACACACACACCACACACACACACGCAAAAATTAATTTTCCACTATGGAAATACATCACTTCCCTAAAAGATAAGATCTGGTTTAAAATTTGGAATTTTCCCAATTAATTCTGTAAGTTTTGTCAGTAAAATACAGTAACTTGTTTTCATGCCCATTAATGTTATCAGTAATAAGAAAGGGTGAAAAAATACTCTAAACTGGACCTCTAACAAATCAATTTCTTTATTTTAATGCATGAAAATCAATTTATTAGCTTCATTCTGGAGCCTTTTTGTATCTTGATTCTGTTGTTCTGTCAAGCCTTTAATTTTTCCCCTCTGGCACATTTCAGACAAGCTGATCCAACAATGAAAGTTGTTGATTCTTGCATGAGTTTGATGAACTCTCTAAAGCTGCTGCCTAAGGAACTGTGATGCTAATCAATCTCCATGTTTTTCTCTTTGTATTAAGACGTCTGACATAGGCATGACCCAAAACAGTGGAGACAGTGGCTTGTGTTTTGAAATCTGGTTCAGAAAGAGGAAAAGCCAGGACACGTACACACTGCAAGCTGTCAGCCGAGAAGTGAAGGAGGCCTGGACCAAAGAGCTGGAGCGGCTCCTGTGGGAGCAGGCGATACACAACAGAGGTACAGGGGGGAAGTAAACAGGGTATTTATTTAAGATATGGTATAGTTCTAAGTTCATTTTTAGGATGAAAAATTTTTCAAACAACACCAGCCAAAGTCAATGAACGTCAAACATTTAGGAAATTGTAATGGGTAACCCCTTATAGGGCCAACATCTATATTTAGACACTTCCAATCACATCATAAATGATGTCGATGTGCCTATTCACAGACTCTGAGAATTACAGGATTTCACCTAACCAATCATCAGACATCAAGCTAGTCAAAGTTCACACCAGGGTGCCATTCGACCAGTCAGTATGGGGCTGTGATGCGCCAGATATTGGTGCATCTACAGAACCAGAGAACTCCTCGGTCTTCTCTTGTGTTTACGATCAGATCTCTAAAACTAGCGATATCTACACTTACATGCGCCAAATCTCCTCTATCCGATTCAAATCTTGGTTGATCGAAAATCCCAAATCTCTGTTTACATGGACACATGATCTGATCATGCCGTGAGTATACATACACCAAGGTTCTGTCACTTTAATAAACAAGCTGGAGCTGGTCATGCCCATCCCTCCTCCACTCAAGCTCCAATCAGGTAGTCGATGTGAGAGGACCTCGGATTAGAGCCGCTGCTCCTCAAGCAGCTAGAGGTAGTTTTATTTCTATTGTCCTCATTAATGACGTCACAAAGGGGTCTTTATGAAATGGCTTGTTTTAGCCACATAATTCCTAAAACCAAACACGGACAGAAAAAGGATAGACAGATTTTTCTACATTTGGAGTGTTCACAGAGGCAGTAGAGACCCACATGGCAGCATGAAAGGATGCAAAAGGTGAATTCTGCATAATATATCTCCTTTAAGGTCTTCCTGTGTCAACTTTGGTCAAATGTGGAAAATTGTACAGCCTTTAAAACAAAAACAAACAAAAAACCTTATTTTGTTTGTCCTTCATGGATTTCTTGAGTTTTTGCTGCCAGTTACAAAAATGCGTAGTCCAATGCTTCGTGTTTGTTTTTTAGAGATCCGCATGCAGGAGAGAGTGTTTCTGGGTATCGGGAACAAGCCTTTCATGGACATCCAGCCCAGTGAGGCAGCCATCAGTGACAGAGCTGTGAACTATGTCCTGGTGGGAAGAGGTAAGTGATTCATGTACCTTTTTTTTGTACTGTGCTTCTAAAAAAGACACTTATTTTCACATCTTCCCCTCACAGAAAACAAGGTTTTCCCCTCAGTCAGGTCGTATAGGTCACAGGGTGAGCTTCCAGGGTCTGACCCACAGTCTGTTGGTTCAGGCAGCAGCTCGTCCTCCTCCTATTCCTCAGGACGAGGGTCCTTGTCTCCTGTGGGATACTCCTGTGAGGCAGAGCGGAGGGCGGTGTTAGCTGGTCTCCCAGGATATGTGGCACTCCCTGGAGCTCTGGAGGAGGATGACTCCAACCACGAGGGTGGAAACCAGAACTTACTGTGTGAGTAAATATAAGCCCAAACTTAAAAGTTTCATTTCTCTGTGGGTGCTGATGACACTTCCTCCATATAATCACCGGTCAAAGGTCAGGGTAAATACTTTTAAAGAGTGACACTCTATTAAAGGAGTGAAAGCTAATCCTGACAGTGTTTGCTCAGCTGTCCAGATTGGGATTTATATCCCAGTAACAAAGTAACGCATTGGTTTAATTCATCCTGAATTAAGTTTTAATCCACACCGTTGTTACTTCTCTTCTCTCCAGTGGACAGCTCTGAGTCTTCGGGAGAGAGTGTGAGTGGTTTCAGCAGTTCCTGTCACAGCTATCAGTCCGCTATGGGAGAGGTGGACGACAGTTCCTCCGTTTGTGCTTCGATCATCACCGTCAGGGAGGTTGGAGCTGCTCAGTCCACTGAAGCCACCGCCGTCTTCCCAAAACAGGACTCTCTGCCAGGATGCGCTGTGGAAAACCAGCCACCTCTTACAACACACATCTTTTTTTAAGATTCAGCTGCAATGTAATTTTTGATTTGTGGTTTTTGTTTTGACAGGTTTAGAGCTTTGAGATAAATAAAAAGAAGCCTGATTGTAAGAGCAGCCATGAAGACAACAGAACTACATCACCATTCCAGACGTTACTATAACCAGCTCTGTAAATAAGCATTTCTATACCATTACCACTAAAACAGCAGGTCACATATGTGTTTATAATTCATCTGTGTTGTGAACATGACCAGGGATTTTTTTTTCTAATCTAGAAACATTTCTTTACACTGTAAATTTTAGTTTTTTTGTTCAAAACATTATAAAATTGTCAGTTTATATCAAAAACAAGTTTTTGAAGGTGCTTTTTTAAAAGTTTGGTGCTTTATGCACAAAAACCAGTTACCTAACACGACTCAACTACAGATAATAGTTCATCAGAAAATAAGACGCGTATGTTTTTTACAATTGGCTTGGTGTGAATGATCATATCGACCTCATGAAGAGTTGTACGACTTATGTAGAAACTAGATGCGGTCATGTGTGTCTGCGTTGCTGTGTTGTTTTACACCTGTTCATCCTTTTGTAATAAACGTAACAGCACTGACAGCTAGACTGAGATTTCTTTTTCTGATGTTAACATGTGATATTCTGTCATTTTAACACAAGCTCAAGAATTGGAAGTAAAAAGCAACTGACACATCTAAACTTTATTTTTTCATTTATTATTTTATTATTCGTTATATTTGACTCAAGATGACATCAGTACATTCTCATAATAAAGAGGCAGTGTTTTTTTTATGTGTTCTTTTGTAAATGTTTTCTGCCAATCTGATTCCTGAAGCACATTTAAAGGAAGCTCAGGTCAGTGAAGTGTGTTTCTGTGGAAAAACATGAATAACAGATTTTAAGCTTCAGTTTGGAGAAAAAGATTCGTTAATGCTCTTTGTTTGAAAGACGTAGCAGTTTGGAGCTGATGTAACAAGCTGGGTTTTGTTTCGAGCTATATTCTAGTTTTTGTGTTTACAAAATGCAGTACAGATCTAAAAGGAACCAACGGACGTTGGTGTTAAAGGTGTAAGACCGGCATCCTGTGGTCAAATTTTGTTACTGCAGTCCATTTTTCAAAGCAAAAACTCACTTTCTCACTGCAACTACGCGAGTTTCATTGCTGTTGCCAGTTATGGCTCTGCCAGAAGATCTAGAAGACGAGTCATAGACAGTAAGTTGATAAGTGGATAAATACATTGTTACACCTGGTGTTGGTGCTCTGAGGTGTTTTACTGTAAGGTTCACTTACTACACGTTTTACGGTAATATTTCTTTGGCATTAGAGGAAGTGTGGTAGTTTGCCGTATTGCTGTTAGTATGCGCTTATAGTTCTGAACAACTCATTGAAGGAAGGAAAACGCCACAGTTGAGTCATAATTCACTTCAATCATGCATTTCACTGTAATATTGAGTTGTTGGTAATTGAAAAACAGCTTAGGATATTTTCAGAACTGAGTATTTGCTTCAAAATCCTTGTTAGCATTGTTAGCGCTTCATTAGCCTCTAACCTGCTTCACCCAATATTAGAGTAAAATAAAATATGTCGTGGCTTCTTAGGGGACATGAAATAACTTCTAGGTCACTCCTCTTTACTTGCTTTGGTTCTTTAAACAACTCTGAAACTTTTTGTCTGCAAGTGTGGAATTACAAGTGTAGAGTCTGCAGCATTAGCTTGCTGCAGACTTTGCAACCTCATGAACTCACTGATTTCAAACAGTAACTATGTCCCTCTGGTTTTTTTCAAAAGGAGCAAAACTTACAACCCTCCAGGCTGCTGAGAAGGAAATCTGTTTCAATGTAACCTTCCTTCCAATATTATTGAGACATTAGACCTTTTTTGTGATTATTTCTCTGTAGAGTTCATACATATTACTCCTTTAAAAGACATGGGGAGCTCCAAGAACTATAACTTGATATATCTACACCACTTCTAAGAAGAAACTCCACTATGGGGCAAGTTTGATAAGTGCTGCCTCACCTAGTTTAGTATCATGCTCCAGCACAGTCGTGCTAGAATGTACATCACCAAAAAAACCTTGATGAATTCAGTTTTTTTTCCCACATCCTGCATTTCACCATCAGGACGATTTGAGAGGTTATGACAAATCACAGGTCAAAAGTCTACATTGATGATGACCATTACCACAGTCACCATCACGTTATGCAGGAGAGATGGAGAAACACAAATAAACTCAAGCAGTTTTTCTCTGTCAGAAAATCTCATGTGTCTTCATGAGGAGGGAACAGTTTACCTCACTGCATCACATCAGGCCAGGAGCCTCCTGTCAGATGTAATCTGCGTAATTAGCTTTGTCACAAAAAGTAGGCCTGCAAACCATGCTGATGAGACTGATCCAGATGCGCCTGGCTGGAAAGAGCTCTTTAGGGCTTTCCTTTCATAGAGCCGCTGCACGTTTCTGTGTAAAACTGAGAGGAAACTGCTGGTTATTTCACAAGCATGGTTTAGATGCTCTCGACACTGTGTGACATACCCAAGCATGTTAGTCCGTGGAGCTGAGTCAGCAAATAAAATCTGTCCCAACACCAGTTCAGCAGTAGCCTGGCAAGCCGCAACGCTCCATTGACGGCTCTCGGTTGTGGGGCGGGTTCTACCGTTGTCTTTCAAATGATCTCCACATTCCACTGGACAATGAATGTGACTCTTGTTTCACTCTGTTGCATCATCCCACCCACCAGGCATATAGATTGCCCTGATTGGCCCACAAAGCGGATAAAGCTCTGTGATTTGTTCACTAAGCAGATAGAGCACTATGATTGGCCCATCATTATGGACCAATCACAGCTCTTTATGTGTTTGAAACCCCTCTAGTGAGTTGTGATTGGCTAGCCAGAGTCCTGGTAGGAGCTGCGGAGGTTCCAATGGAGCATGCCTAGACCAAACTTTGCAAAGCAAGAATTTGGTCTAGCTCACTAGGCTAGTTCAGCAGAGCTTAAACCATGACATTTGTGTTTGGCCTCACAAACATCAAATATTAAAAATGTAGACATCCATCTGTGTTCATGCATCATACTGTTGGAGGCTTGAAGCCACCTCGCTAAGGTCTGTTGGATCAGATTAAACTGAAAAACCGGTGCCCTGGAAAAAGAAATCGTAGCTGCACATATGTATATATGTATATATGTATGTATATATGTCGATGAGCTGCACATGCAAATGATATTTTAGAAACATAACACCTTAATAAATGTCACATCACACACTTATTTCCATCTTTGTAGTAAAGAAATTCCACCTAATTTCTTTCTGGCTGGAATTTTACAAAAATGATGCTTTAAAACAACATGAAATCTGTGGCAATGTAAATGTTTTCCAATGATATTTGCACATAAGATTTTTGAAATAAAGGTTTTTTTACATATAAATTTGACACATTCTAACTGGATGTACCACTTCTCTTAAGCTCTTTAGATCTAATCGGTTTCTTCAGCAGCTGTCCACAACAGATAACATATCAAGTCACTTTCCTCAGAGTGACACTTGAAAAACAGTCTCTTTAACTTTGTACCATGGCAAAAGTCCACATTTTCTGTGTTGCTGATCATTTCTTTTATATCACAGATTATTCAGTCTGTTGGGATAGATATTATCTGAGTTCTGGCTCAGTTTCTAACCACTTGATTCACATTCCAGAGATAATGCCTCGTTTAGGGGCAAAACTCTTGACCAGAAAGTAAAGCACTTGGTGTTTTAAACATCTGTCAGATAAAGTGTTTTGCTTTTCCCCTAATTTTTTTTCATTGCTGCAAATTTTCTTGAGAAGCTAAAACAGGTTGTGAGTTGTAAGAGTGGAAGGGGCTCATAGTTTGATGTCTAGGAGAGTTCTATGTTTATTTTTTTTATTAAACACTTTTTAATGAAACGGTTAGATTTTTCTTTGAAATCATTGTCTCATTTTCTCACTACAAACGTCTAAGGAGGATAACTTATTCCAATAATGCAAACAGTTATGAGGTATCTTGTACACAACAGCAAATATTTTGTTTTGTTGGAGAAAATGTCATCATGAGATAATTTTGTTATTCTTGTTCTTAAAAAATGTTTAAAACTTCATAGACTTTTTTGCACAAGCCTGGACTTGCTACATTCCTTTGTATTCCTTAAAATGTGTGTAGTGGTCCTTTAAAAAGGGGCGTATTATGCAAAATGCATGTTTTGCATCTTTTTGCGGCCATGTGGGCCTGTACTGTCGCTAGAAACTCCAGACATGAAAAAACTCTGTCAGTGTTTGGTTTAGGTAATACAAGCCTAAAACAAGCTATTTTTAAAAGGTACTTGTTTGTGACATCACATAAAGCCACCTCACTTCTCCTGCTTGGAGGAGCAAGAACTCTACTCCAAGCCCCTCTAGCATAGCAGAGCTTCTCAGCTTATAGCAGCCCGAGTGGGGCAGGGGTGGGCGTGGCCAGCTCCAGTTTGTTTTCTTAAAGTGACAGAACCCTGAAATGTCTCATTCTGGAAGGTACTGAAACTGTCAAGAATAAAACAACTGAAAATGCTTTGTGTGAGAGGGATTTTGTGTGGAAAATATAAACCTTTTTACGACTATTATATCTTTAAAAAATCGTGATGTATTCTATTTCTCAGTGCTTATTGTTTTTGCTGCTCTCATCCATCCTACTGGTGTTTTTTTTAATAGAGCCATGTAACATTTTAATGCTGAAAACATTTTAATAAGTCCTGAGACCAAAACATTTCCTCATAAAAAGCTGCACAAATATTTAAGTCTATCGGAATGTTAGGATTCGGTTTGGTGCATGCGCGCACGCATCAGCTCGCGCGCGTCAAGATATATATATATATATATATATATATATATATATATATATATATATATATATATATATATATTTTTTTTTTTTTCTTCGTCTTGATGAGGGTCATGTCCCACCCTCTCAGGCTGACTGGCACTAGGAGACCACATATAAGAGCCAGATAACAGCACAGATGCTCCTTCTTCCCATAAGCAGGAAATCCACCCGAACCGGTCCGGTTAAACAGCACCGCAGGAGTCATGGCTCAAAGTAAGTCTGGATCTTATATGTTCAACTGGCTCCTATAAAAACAGAACTTTAGTTGAGATGATGTCATCATAAACTAGTTTTATGTGGATTAAACACCGATTCAGGTCTCTGTCAGATACAGGAACTTGTCTTATTAGATGTTAGATTTTGCAGAACATTTTCAGAACTTTGAACATCTTTGGTGTGTTCTTGCTGTGTTGAAATTCTAATTCCATCTTTTAGTTATTTTTAAAACACAGGAAGGTTTTATTTACCTGCAACGTTTCGTTTGCGGCTGCAAACTTCGTCACGAAGTCACGAAGTTTGCAGCCGCAAACGAAACGTTGCAGGTAAATAAAACATTTCTGTATTTTAAAAATAACTTTCTGAACTTGTTTCATTAATTTGTAATTAAAAAAATTAATTTAGGTTTAAAATACCTAATTTACCTGCCATGCAATTTTTCACACACCAATCAAAATCCTGTCTGATTCCTTCACTTCGAAGGGACTCTTTGAAGGAGTTAATAGCTAATTTAGTTGCTGCAAACAACAAGAGATAAAATGTTCTTTTTTCTTTACTCTGTAAGTCTAATTAGTTGAGTTTCCCAAATATTATTTCTATCTTTCAGTCTCAGTCATGTACTTTTAAGCATAATAAGTGATGAGAACTTGAAGTTATACTGGAGGGATTATTCTTGCTGTAGGCTGCGGTGATTAGAGCTTTAGCTGCAGAATGAATCAGGAAAGAACTCAGATCATGGCATGGAAACAGTAAAATCAGACAAATGAATGTTTACTTTCCCAGATCTCAGGTTTAAGTTTAGCAGTTGGACCCTCAGACTCAGAATAGTAGTCCAGAGCAGCTGGAGCGTCCACTTATCTGTGCTATATTTAGAGCTACAACCCAAAGCCACCAACGTTGACTCTGGTCATCTGTTACAAAAAAATGTATTTACAAAAAATTCCACTTCATAAAAGCTTATGTGCAAAGAACTAATGAGAATTTATTTGTTTTAGCTTTTTATTTGAGCATTTAAGTTCAGGGAAACAAAATTCTGCAGAACACTTTAATTCCAGCACCAATGCCATATTTTCCATGCGTTAGACATGCTCAGGAGCATTCGTTCGGTAATAAAAGAGTCCATGATGAACACCTGAGGTCAGCGAGGGTGTCACCTGGAACACTGAAAGGTTCTGTCACCCCAGGCTGTTTGCCCATTTGAATCTGCAGGATTTAAATAGTGTTTACTAGATTACGTCAGTACAATTTTGGTTTAAGCATCCCTTCAAGGCTCACTGGCCTCAGTGTTGATGGTGAGAAAGTCTCCTTGTGTCGTGTGGGGTTATGGTTGGGTGGGTCAGAGGAGCAGTCGCATGCACAGTATTTAAAAGCTTAAAAGACTCAAGAATCTCTTCCCAAAGCATTCCCGACACGCTGCAGAATTAGCTGCAGGTCAGGGATGAATTATGTTCAACTTTGCACCACATGTGCACAATCAAGCGCGTAACTGCTTAAGTGCATTGTGTTGTAATGATGTTAAGGAATTTATTTCCTTTCATGTCAGTTGCTTTCTTCCAATATTATTACAAATCATTACAGAAAGGATGAAGTCTTACATTTGCCTTTGTTTTTTCTTAGTTCTGTGTCACAGATCTACACATGCTATTGATTTAGTAACTGTTTGCACATTCTTCCAGATGCTTTAATGTTATTTTTTTCAGCTTTACAGTAAAACGCTCTTCCCCAAATGCCTTTTTAATGACTTATTAAAAAAAACAGCACTTTAATACCACTCCAATTTATTTCTGGCACGTCATATGTCATTTAAAATTCACACACATTTCTTCATTTAAGTCTTGTACTGAATCAAAGACCAATAAAACATAAAATCCTAGTCCGGATCTAAGGAAGAATCCCCTCATGGGTTCTGTTGTAAAACAGCAGGTAGTCTGTCTCAGCTACATCTTTATTCACTTAGAGCCCAGGCCTGACATCACCTCCTCAGGATGGTTTCAAGGGCTCGTTTGAACACAAAGACCGAGTGTATAAGGAAAGGCTGCAGTCTGCATTAGACAAACTGTTGCTCAAGAGCACCCTAGAGTTTTTGCCAAAGAGGAATTCAAAGGGTGGGACTTTATTTGCCATAGCAAGCCCCTGGAGAGGTTCAAGGAGTCACCACCTCCGTTGAATCAATACAGGAAAACATGACTGAGCACCCTGCAACTGACAGTTAATGTTTACATGTCTGTCACCAGCTTGTTTATCAGAAAACAGAATACTGCTTTCAAAAGACGATTTCATTCCTCAAGCAAATTAAGCTAGCCAAACCAACTTGCTGTTAAGTAAAAAGGGAATTTGCCTACCTTTTAAATCATGAAATAACTGATTTATGTTTCACAAGCCAAACCTGAACTTGACTACCAGACCTCACTTTCCTAGAACCTGTCTGACAAAGATATGTAGGCTAAATTATCTCAAAAAACAACACTGGAAAGTCTTAAGGCAAAAACTGCTGCTGACCAAAAAGAACACAGAGGAAAATATTCTGACAAGACAAATTAGACATATAAGTGTGAGTCCCGTTACATTTAGTGCAATTTACTGGTCATCCAGTTCTGGTAATCCAAAGAGGTTCAAACGAAGGCAGCCGGACTTCTTTGGTTTCCTGAAGACGTTTCGCTTCTCATATGAGGAGCTTTGTCAGTTCTGACTGGAATATGGGAGAGTCAAGCTTATAAGCTGTGGTTGTCTGTTGTTGCTTAACGAGCAGAAACTACCTGTGAATACCCTGCTTCCTGCCCCGTGAGGATCTGTTGAAGTCATTAGGCTCTATTGTGTGGGAATGGTTGTTTTGATTAGATGCAGAAGGGTGTAACCTGGTGCAAAAGCATTGCTACATTGTAGATATAAACAACACAGTGATAGTGTAATGATCTGGGAGAACTTGCTGTAACTGATGGAAATGAATTCTCCTCTGATGAAGAATGCCTGACCTTGATTAAAACATTATTTCTCTATTTACTGTATACGTTAAATATCTAACTGCTCCTAGAATAAGTTTTCTTTTTTTATCTTTATAAGCTTTGGACATTGATCACTTGAACCTGGAGTGTGAGTTCAACAACGTTGACCATCGCACGGAACTCAATGGAGTGGATCGACTCATCGTGAGGAGAGGACAGCCCTTTACCATCAGCGTATATCTTCGGTCTGGAAGCTACCAGCCTGGGGTCAGCTCACTGGACTGCGTGGCAGAAACAGGTCCTAAACTCCTTCTCAGGTTTTCTGTTATTAAAATAAATTTAAAAAGTGATTTAATTTTTCAAGGTCTTGTGAAATGGACTCTGAAACAGCATCTATGCATTAAGATGGTTAAACAGGATGCAGAAGCATGTTGGAAGTTTCCTGTCTGTCAGGAAGTTGGAACACCCTCCATGTTATTACTTCTGGTGTTGCCTGTTGGAAAAAGAAAAGGAACAGTAGTGTTAATGGAAAGGAATGGAGATCAGATCCTGCTGGCTTTGCCGTCACTTTTGTTTTTACCTCTAAGCCATCCCAAACACTTGTCTGTTATTATTGGATGCCTCAAACACTTTTCTACTCACACATTTGTCCTCAGAATACAAACACTGAACTACGTCTGTCATCTTTCAGTGCCTGGAAGAAACTCAGTGAAAAAGTTAGATAAAACGCCCATTGCACAGAATCAGAAGCAACAAGAAACTCTGCTCGCCAAGAGGGAAGCATGTGTTTAATCCAAGATAACAGGTTTTTAAACAAAAACATATTTAAAAGGACTCAAGCAGAACCCTCCATCCCAGCCAGCAAAAATGAGATGATTCAATTGTTTGATTTTACTAAACGTACACTTGAAGCTTCACACATGACTGAATGAAGCTGTTGTTTTGTATTATTTTATTTCATCCATGCACAAAAACAGAAATGTGTGGATTAAATTAGGAAAAGTTCCATTCCAAATCTTTTATCAGACAGTTTGGTTTAATCGTGTTCATTGTTACATGCAGGTCCTCAGCCCTCTGAGCAGTATGGCACCAAGGCCTCCTTTGCTCTGTCTGCTAACATCGACACCTCCTGCTGGAGTGCCTCTGTCACCGGTCCCCCAGGAGATATGGTGGTCCTGTCCATCTGCTCTTCTCCCAACGCTCCGATTGGTCGCTACACGCTCACCCTGGGGCGGTCAGTTAGGACTGAGTTCATCCTGCTCTTTAACCCCTGGTGTCCAGGTGGGTAAACAAGCCACATGAGTCAAAGCTGTCTGTCAAGCAGGGGATGGAAATTCTTTGAAGATCAGGTTTCACACCAGCATGCACCAAAGATGAGAGCTTCTCAGGAGCAGTTGGAACTAATTAGAAGAGCTGTCATGAATCTGTCCAGCAACACCGTGACCTAAAGCGAGCAGGAGTTTTAGCAGGAGAACAAATCTTTTGTCAGCCAAGTTAGGACATGCATCAGGACATTATTTGTGTTGTGTCTTGGCAACAGGGGATGCCGTATATATGGATAATGAACAAAGTCTGGCAGAGTACATCTTGGCTCAGGATGGAATCATATTTCGAGGCAGCTACAAACATCCCATTCCCACTGCTTGGAACTTTGGCCAGGTACCAACACAAATACTGACACTGCCAGATCCTCTTCATCTAACACACCATCACTTAGATAAGTCAGCAGTGTGTCAGAGGGGCAGAGGAGTTCAAATCACACTCATTCTGATTAGAGAGAAACAAGCATGGATTGAGTAGTGAGACAGGTGGTGTGCCGAATCCCCCTTAGCTGCTGTCAGTGTGATGTGGGGCCCCGTCGTCATGACTAAAGGGACCCCACTTCGGCTGACCCATTTTCCTCGTTTGGTTATGGCAAGTTTGTTACCTTTGTGGCTTCGTCGGAGGTACCTTGCCCCAGGCTGGACCGTCTCACCTCCTGGGGTGGGGCAACGAATCTTCATCTAGCGCATCGTATACTATGGTGGTGAGTGGCTGAAGGTCTGGGCCACAGTGAACGTGACACTATAAAATGCACGAACTGGGACGCCAGCTACCCGCGTTCTGTGGCTATGGCTGGTACTACCTGGATGGAGAAACGCGGGAGGGCCAACACTCATCCAGGCGCCACCGGAGGGGATTGCAGTCAGAGAATCCCTGTCCATGCTCCGACGTGTCCCGTAGCACAAGCTGCTGCGAGATGATTACCTCCCGCCCTGGGCGACCGCGTGTAGGATGCCCTCTTGATCATCAAAATTGGGATGATTACTAGGGCTGCTTGTCAGGGTGGTAAAGCGTCCCCCTCTAATAGAGAAATGTATATGAGCTTGTAAAGTAGCTGATCAAAACCAGTATCTCACTGGGCTGTGGCTGCAGACACAACATTTCAAGACAGTATGCACATTTTCTGAAGGATTCTACCTTAGTTTGTCCTTACAACCATTTGCCATGGAGTTCATTCCAAAATTTGGGCAGTAGTTGTGCAACATTGCAAAAAATAAAATAAAATTCCTCATACCGGTACATTGCCCAACCTCTTTCCATAGTTTTCTTGCATTTCTCACTTTTTCTAACTGACAGAAACTAGATCGAGATGGTTTCCAAATAACTCTGCAACTGTTTTGGGGAAAGTTTTTTCATACATTCAAAATTCCAGTGATATATACATGAGGTCCTGCAACTTGCAAGAAAATAGCAAACCCTTGCACACTTTTCTTCTTTCGTGCATCTACCACAGCAGATGTGAGCATCTTCCTTTACATCTAATTGCGTTTTCTCTTGTATTTTCAGAAAGTTTCAGAAAAAAATCTTGTTTAAGTTTATTTTAGTTTCTACATTCTGTTAAAGTATTTCTCATAAACGATAATCATCCATAACATTCATATTATGTTGGTTCAGTTTGAACATGGAATCCTGGATATTTGTCTGAGAATTCTGGATATGAATCCCAAATGTCTGCGCAATCCTGGCAAAGACTATTCCGGGAGAAGAAATGCGGTCTATGTGTCCCGAGTGCTGAGTGCTATGGTATGACTCGCATTCTGTTCATTCATATGTTTATATATTTGCAAAGCCTTAAAGTGAACAAAAGAACCACCTTTTTTGAGACAAATATCCCTCGTCTACGGTGTTGCAGGTGAACTGTAATGATGACAAAGGCGTGCTGCTGGGAAGATGGACCACTGACTATGAAGGAGGCGTGAGTCCATTGTATTGGCGGGGAAGTGTGGAGATTCTGCGCAACTGGGACCAACAAGCCTGTCAGCCTGTTCGCTATGGACAGTGCTGGGTGTTTGCTGCAGTCGCCTGCACGGGTAAGAGGGGACGTGTTGGCCTGTTTGGAGAACAAAGCATTGGTCTAATATAAAAGTTGATTCTCCTTGTAAGAATTCACCATGTAATCCTGATATTCTAAGTTTCCAGAGCCCTTGGCATCCCCTGCCGAATTGTAACCAACTACTTGTCTGCCCACGACACCAACAACAACCTGGTGATCGAACGCTACGTTAATGAAGAGGGGGAGCTCATGAAGTCCAAAGAAATGATCTGGTAAATCTCATTTACTCAACTCTAGTCTACTCACTGATGACTTTAAAGCAGAAGCACACACCAGGTGTTGATGTTGTGTTTGTTAAACCACAGGAATTATCACTGCTGGGTGGAGAGCTGGATGACCAGACCTGATCTCAAACCTGACTTCAATGGCTGGCAGGCCAGTGACCCAACACCTCAGGAGAAGAGTGAAGGTGCAGTTTTAAAAACAGGGGTATCAATCTAGTTAGTGAGCATCGTTTCTGTTCTGACTCCCATCTCATTCCCTCAGACGTCTATTGCTGCGGCCCCATTCCCGTCAAGGCCATCAAAGAAGGCGAGCTCACCTTCAAATATGACGCCTCCTTTGTATTTGCTGAGGTCAACGCTGATGTTCTCACATACATGAAGAAAAAAGATGGCAGCACTTCCAATGTCACTTCTGCTACATTGGTGGGCCAGAAGATAAGCACCAAGAGTGTTGGCAGTGATGCCAGAGAGGACATCACTCATATCTACAAGTACCCCGAAGGTAAAGAATTCTGCCAAGCCCTTCTGTCATTGCAGATTTTACAGATCAAGACTTTGTGAAAAGTATCAGGGCCAGTCCAGATTTTAAACTGAGGTTAGTGAAACCTCTGAGACACAAATGCACGACATATTTAATTTATTTAAAGGGGGAATATTATGCAAATCTCATCTTTTGTGCTGCCATGTGGGTCTTTGCCGCCTCTGTAAACACTCCAAACATGATGAAAACCTGTATCCGTTTTCTGTCAGTGTGTGGTTTTAGAAATGATGTGTTTAAAACGAGCCGTTTCAAAAAGTCTCCGTTTGTGATGTCACAAATAGAGGAATTGGCATAGAATCACCTCTCAAGTGAATTAAAGCAGCTGCTCTACTTTGAGCCCCTCCAGGATTTTGGAGCATCTCAGCCTATAGCAGCTAGAATATGGATGGGTGAGCGTGGTCAGCTTCAGCTTGTTTTCTTAAAGTGACGGAGCCCATGAAATTATTTTAACTTAAGAAAAAAAGCCATTACATGTCCCTTTCAACAAAAATATATAAATAAATTACAAGAGTTGCCCCCCCCCCCCCCCCCCCCCTCTTTTTGGTACTTGTAAACTATTAAGTACACTGAAGAAACTGGTAAAATAAGGCAGAAGCAGTTTGCTTCTCTGGAGAACGTGTGTGTGTGTGTGTGTGTGCGTGCGTGCGTGCGTGCGTGTGTGTGTGTGTGTGTGTGTGTGTGTGTGTGTGTATGTAAAACACAAAAGAAGCAACTGTCTTTGCACATGTACTCCCAAGAGTTATGTGCCTATCTTTTCAAAGAATTTCAGATCCATCTTTCTCCACAGATAAGGTTTATTTACGTTGGAAACATTAAACATGTTTGCTAATCTTCCAAATAGCTGACATACCAGCAAGTTCAGCCTGAATTCAGACCAGTTAGCATGTTAGACGTTAAGGTTCATGACAAAATTAGATCAAGACTAATCAAGTCTGGCCTGTTTGGAAACGGGGAAAGTTCTTTCTGCAAAGTTGCATCTTGATAAACAGCTGAACTTCTGGAACAACGTCATTTGGATCACCAAAGTAAAGATATAGATGGAAAAAATGCATTAATTTTGCTGAAACAAAGCTCAGCTTATCTGTACATAAACCTCATACCAACCGGTTCACAGTGAACTTCTCTGAAAAGAAAAATGTTGTCATGTTAAAACAGAAAAATGTTTTACTAAAACGAATCATGCAAAAAACAACCCAAGCACAGCAGCAAGTCAACAGCAGTATATCTGCAGAGGAAAATTACAAGTTCATAACCTTTAGATTTCAGGGCTTCTCTTATATGTTGCCTGGTTATTCCGTGTTTATATTCCCAGGATCGGATGAAGAGCGGGAAGCTTTCAAGAGGGCCGATCACCAAAACAAGCTGCTCCACCAGAAGGAGGATCTGGGCCTGCTCCTCTCCATCAAAGTCACATCAGACATGAAGAAAGGCTGTGACTTTGACGTGTTTGCTGTTGTTACCAACAACACAGAACATGAGAAGCATTGTCGCCTGGTGTTTGGATCCTGTGCCATGTCCTACAGTGGAGTTCTGGGAGGGAACTGCGGCTTTAAAGACCTCCTTAATGTTCGGCTCTCCCCAGGAGCAGGTGAGTCAGGCCACAGAGTGCTGTCAGCTAGAGAATGTCACTGAAATGCCACTACTTATTTTTAAACAGGGGCGGCGTTAGGCCCGGCTACTTGGGCTGAAGCCCCGAATCTTTAATGAAAAGCCCCGGATCTCAAACGTGGAAGTAACATGCAGTACCAAAGTCCAACAGAGAGGGAGCAGCTAGCAGTAGTTTGTATACAGCCTGCCTGAGCCTCCACCACTGCAGAAGAAGCCCTTCAGCAGCCGGCTTCTTCTGCAGTGCCTGTTTTTTTCTACACTGCCTGAAATGCATGAGTGAAGGGCGTTTTTTAGACAAAAAGTACAATGACAGAACCCCAGCTTTGATGAGACTGGTGTTGACTCAGGTTTGTGAGTCTTATTTGAAAATATTTGTTGTGCTGCTGGTTTGCCTAAAGTTAGCTTATCAGGTAAAGTTGTTGGAGAAAGAACCTGGGAATATTTACTATCATCTCACACTAAACACTAACAGGAACAATACTCTGCCCTGAATATGCTTAATATGAAGCTTCAGATTAAAAATTATGTGGTACAAGACAAATATATATGTTGACTAGTGCGTGTCACGTGTGTGTGCGTGTGCGTGCGTGTGCGCGCGTGCGTGTGTTAAGCCCCGGATCTTCTTCAGTCCTTAATCCGCCCCTGTTTTTAAACCCAATGATTTTGTATGCCTTCTTTCAGAGAGACGAGTTCCGTTGACGCTGAATTACTCCAAATATGGTGGCCAACTCACAGAGGACAGCTTAATCCGTCTGGCAGCTCTGCTGCTGGACTACTCTACCGGAGAGGCTAAACTCGCTGTGAGGAACATTGTTCTGGATGATCCACAAATCAAAGTCAGAGTGAGTACCGCTGTTCAGGTTGGTGCTGCAGAAACCACAAATGTGATGGCTGCAATAGGGCTTGTGATCGTGTCGTCATCACAGGAGCGGCCACCGTGGTGGCGCACTCAGTCTTAAAGGCTTCATTTAATCTATCAGTCATTTGATTGGTTTAACTCAACCATGGTTGCTGTGTTGTGTAGTGCAAAAGCACAACGTTATCATATGACCGCTGGTGAAAAACGAGCTAACTTTTCATCGTTTTCCTGCTTGGGTGCATAGCCGCAGAGACATAACAAATTCTAGTTGGCTTGCTTGGACTGCAGCTGTAAGGTGACCAAATATCACTCTGCAGAGTATCCTGGTACTGATGAGAGTGTGCTCTCTGCATTTTCATTCTGGTAAGTTACAGAATACACACGTTTTATTATACATTGTTTCTTTAGTTCAACCTGGACATGCATACTGACCACACACACACACACACACACACACACACACACACACACACACACACACACACACACACACACACACACACACACACACACACACACACACACACACACACACACATCGGTAGGCTAATACGGGGGCAGTGAAACTCAACACTTCTCCTGCTACACTTCTTCTATGGAATAACAATTTAATTTGTTGAACTAGAAAAAACAACAAATGAAAGATTTACCTCTCATCTGGACATTTTCATCCGCTCACACCACAAACAAGAAAGCCAAAAATGTCCGTTATGCAGACCTGCAGTAGACACAAATCGCTGGTGCTCCAGTCTTGCGTTTTCATATGGATTCAGATTGTTTATAATGCTGATTTTGTCCACAAACCTTTTCCTGGCTTTTCTATTGAACGTATCCCTGAATATTCCGCATTGTTTTAGGGATTTTAACATGTTGTTTAACACTTTCTTAAACCTGCTTCTTCTCTGCGATGTACTGTTTGTTTCCATGGTTTGTTTACACTCATGAGGCTACCAACATGTCGCATAATCACGTGTGATCACAAGCCCTATTACTTAGCTTTGTAAACCAGTAAAATAAGCTGATTTTATAGGCATAAATAAACACATTTGCTATATTTTGTCCAAGGGTGATGGATCACAAACATGGGTTTATACAGAGCTGCTGCCTTTCCAGACAATATGGATGATGCTGGTCGAGTTGACCAAAACTGTTTAATGGCGCACTTCTAGAGTGATGTTTAAGTTTTACCGTATTTTCCGGACTATAAGCAGCTACTATTCCCCACGCTTTGAACCATGCAGCTTATACTGAGGTGCGGCTTTAGTCAACCAGAAAGGATGGATGCTGGAAAGTCTAATGAAGGAATGGTTAACGGAGTGCTACGGAAAGCGCCCAGGAGGATTTTTTCACAGTAAAACGACGCTGCTCGTTTTCCCAGCTTCACCCCAGGATGATGACAGCAACACGGAGAGCGACACTGACATCGCCACAGAAAAGGTATGTGACGAAGCTCTTCTGATGCTGTTCAACTCCGATCAACTCCGACACTGAAGAAGAGGACTTCAGTGGTTTCAATGCGCAGGAGGACGATGACTAAAATAATCAATAACTTTTCTGTTTTGTTTGATACTGATCAGTTCAGTTAAACTACGTTTTCAATTCAGTAGATATCTGCGGCTTTTAGCCCGCTGCGGCTTATATTGAGGTGCGCTCTATAGTCCGCAAATTACAGTAGTTGTGGTTGAAGCTGAGACTGACTGGTTGTAGTCATCTTTAAAACCAGGAAACAAAAGGATTCAAAGTTTAAATCACATACACAGAAAAAGAAGTTTTTAATAGATGGATGAAGAATGTGCGAATCTTTAATCTGGCAATCAATTAAAAACCGAATGCATAAAAAAAGGGTTGAAAACATAAAGAAATGCACTAAGATGCAGCTATAATGATCGTGATGACTGGATTTCGTCTGGTTCCACTTTTCTCAAACATAGTTTGGACTTTGCCAAGGAAAGCAGGACTTATTTGTCATCAGTCTCCAGTTACACCTTATTCTATTCTTTGCAAAATAGATGTTCATGTTTTCTGGCACAGTATTGCATCTCTGTGTAAAACACCTACGTGATAGTATCTTCACCTAGAAGTGTCTGTGTCCTGCAGATCCTAGGTGAACCGAAAGAGAACCGGAAGCTGGCTGCAGAGATTACCCTCCAGAACCCTCTACCTGAGCCCCTGGAGGACTGCTGCTTCAGCATCGAGGGCTCCAACCTGACCGGGGGACGTGTCATCACTGAGAGGTTGTAGGGTTTGATTCTTATCTACACAGCGGTTAGTCATCAGAGTAACAAGGAAAAAAAAATCACATCAGAGCTAAAGATGCTTCTTCATCACCTGAATCCAAGCTCTGAGAGAGGCTTTGGTTTTATGATTTATTTCTCTGACCTCTGCTACTTTCAGATATCTTGCATTGAATGCGTTGGCATCAATCAGGACAGGAAGACTATTTAAGACATTTACCACTCAGGATCATGTGTGCAGACAGGAGATTTAAAAAGCATTAAAACACTGCTGAGCTGTCAAACTGTAATTTTTCAATAAATCTACATGCATGTTTATATCTTTATGAGAGAGTTAAGCAGGGACTCTGTTTATTGCATTAGAGTGATCCAATCCAGTATAACTCAGCGCCTGGAACTGGATGATTGTTATTATTTGACCTTTAGTGTAAAACTTTGCAGCTCTGTCTGCATCATTTCCATACATGGTGAACATTTAGAATTTTGCCAGCAGTCATTTGTCTTGCTAATGTTTACGCAGTCTTAGGACTGTGAAACTTTCATAGCTTTGATACTTGACTGTTTACCTTACAGGCTGGGCTGCACGGTGGGACCCGGGGAGGAGGCCAAGGTTAAAATCTACTTCACTCCCACTCACTCAGGGCTCAGAAAACTGGTGGTGGACTTCGACAGCAACAAGCTGTGTCACGTTAAGGGCTACAGAAACGTGATCATCGGAAAATAAAAAGCTGACTTTCTATTAAAGGAAAGGGTTTATTTTATGATTGTAGTGTTCCAACTATGTAAAACCATGAAAATGTGTTTCCTTTTGCATTTTTATTCAATTATCTTTTTTGTCTTTAATCATTCTGTTAATATTGCTGATTTTGTTGAATATCCCAAAACATTTTAACACGGCTGAAGGCTTATCCATCACTTTTAAACTTCAAATGTACTTTCTTCTGAAAGGAGGGCCACAATAAAATATTTTTTACAAGTTAAACTCATTTCCCCCTCCCCAAATAGATCCAAATAAAGGTTGAAATGCAAACATGTCTGCCTACTGTGCTGTTGCATCACATAAGCTGACTATAACAAAATTACTGATCATAAATAATAATCCAGACATGATGAGATAATGCTCTCTTAGCTGGGACCCTGCTGCATCCTTCTGCAGAAAATCTCCACTCTGCAAATATGCTGCTCTGTTTCCTTACCTCACATATGGAAATCATTGAGACCTCTGAAAGAAAAGCTTTCCAACTCATTTAGTTTTGCACCTGGAGTACACATGGCATCATTCACAAACATGCATGTGTTGCATTGTAAAGAATTAGACACAGTCACACGCTAATCTTTTACCACTTCTTAACTTAATATGAGGATATTGGCTGCACTACATGAACATTTTATTATTCAGGGGCATTTTATTGTTATGATTTACTTGAACTTCTAAATGCTCCAAATATTTTTTAGCCCGGCCAGCCAGACTAAATGTTTTTATAAATGCACATCAAATAGGTCTCCGGGGGATAGATTATCCAAATGGGGTGCAGGTTTCTTCTACTATGAAGGTAAAACATCCTCCTGCAAGTCTAAATATTGAGGTTGAAGGCTGTAATTCTCAAACAACTGCTTTCCTTGTGTCTTATGTGTAAATATTTTGGTGGAAAACCTGAGAAATTCAGCTTTACACAAATTTGCTAAAAACGTTTTCCCTGTGTAAAAATGAATGTGGAAGAAATGCTGCCCTCTGCTGGTCAGAGTAGTGACCTCTGTTTTGAGCATTTAAATAATTTATAGATTGAATTAAATCAGTTTTGTTGAAAAACTAGATACAGACTAAATAGGGTTTGATGCATAATTCCAAATTTATTTCAAAATATTAGTCCTATTTAGTGTCCAATTAGCATTAAATGAGTAAAGTAACGAACAGAGGATCAAATGAACAAATTGAATTGAAACTATGTTTGTTTTTCATTATCCTCTTTATAATAAAGCAAGCCCCACAGCAATCTAAAGAAAATAGCAAGGCATTTCCAACAAATGTATTTAAAAGAAACAACAACAACAACAATAGGGACAAATGTAGAAAACAACATTACATCAAATGATGTTCTCCACAAAATAGCGATACTGAAAATTTACAGATGTAATCAATAACAGTTGGTTAAGATGCACTTGGTATTTAGTGGTAAATGTTTGTTAAAAGTCGACAATGAAAAATAAATGATACCAAAAAATAATAAAGAGCTGGTACAGCCTCTTTACGTGGTTATCCAGGAGTGCTACTCAGAGAAACTTGGACTGGACCCCTATTTTTAGTCCCTGCTCCGTTGAGGTATTTTCCCTCTGCTTATCCAGGATCGGGTCACTAGGTCAGCAGCCTAAAGGTAGTTTCCAGGAGTACTACTCAGAGTAACTCGGACCGGTGCAGCTCGGCCCGACCAGTTCCAAGGGCATGGTTTGGTATTTTCCCTCTACTTTCTCCCCTATTTTTAGTCCCTGCTCCACTGAGGTACCTAGCAAGGCCGAGTCGAGCTGGCATTGTGACTCTAGCCACCGACTGGCTAGGGGGCGGAGTCACTCCATAGTTGTTTGCCTTCTGTTTCACTGCCTGCAGCCACTTCCTGGTTCAGAGTCCGACAAAAAGCCATAAAACTGAGCAAAATGTCCATCAGCATCATTTTTCAGCCAAGTTATGTTTCTGTGGAACATACGGGTTACCTTACACTGTTTACTGATCATCTCCTGTTATTTTGTCATGAGTAAAACTCACGTACCCCCCTCACCTATGAGGGGCGCACCCACTTTCACATGGAGCTGGCATGGGAACAAAACTACATTCAGATGGGCAGCCTCAAACCACGCTGAGCTGTTTTAGGCTCGGCGTTGCTGGAAAAACACCTTATGTGAGGAATTCAAATATTTAAATGTGGTTCTTAAAGCTTAAATTATTCATTTCACAAACATTTCTTTGGATCTAACTTTGAAAATTCAATTGTTATTTTGCAGCATTAACTGCATCTTTGCAAAGTACAACATAAATCGCCAAAAGGAAGTTTCCTATTTACATAAAACTAATTCTCAGAAATAAAACAACTGTGGCACAACCTTCAAACTTACAGCTTAAGCTAAGAAAAAATCTCTTTAAAAAACAGGACTGAAACAGAGTAACTGACAGTAAAATATGTCCCAAAAGATCACAAGTAATAACAGACAAAAGCCAGGGCTATAGGGGTTAATGTGGTGGCAGATAGAGCAATGACAGTCCCTCTTCACAGAGATAAGTGATGAACATGCAGATCTGCTCCGTCTAAAGCACACAGCTACCCGTACAGTCAGAGGTGCTGCCAGCTGCTCTCTCCCCCCACGTCCCTGCTCCCTGTCGGCAAGGCGGAGCGCTGCTGTGAGACGTGTTCTGGTTCCAACTCGAGGCTCCTCTCGGGCGCCACCTGGAGGTAAGCCTGCACGCGGTAGCGCTGCACCACGAGACCGCTGTGGTCGATGACGTGACACTCGTACGTGCCCTCATCTGTTGGTTTGACCCTGGTGAGACGAAGCTTATGGGAGATGTTGCTACCGGCCACTTTCACCACCTAATGAGGACAAAGAGGGTGAAACTAAAATTTGTAGGAACTAAACACTCTGAAGACGCATTTGTTTAGAAAAATGAACAGAAAATATCTTGAATATAAGATTTGGGTCATTATTATTTTTTAAACTTTGCTCTAGCCGACAGGAGCTACTTACACTAATTTTGGTTGCATCTTTGGACATTTCCTCAAGGGTTCCAACCTGCAGAACGAAAAGCATCATTTATGCATCTCTAAGTAAACCTTTTGACAGCAATTTGTCACTGAAGCAACACAAACAAGTAAATCTGAGGTTTTCATAGCCTTTTGTACAACAGAACCCCGTTGTTGTTACTCCTTCTTGTATTTGAGCCTTTCACACCTGTGTGTGTGTGTGTGTGTGTGTGTGTGTGTGTGTGTGTGTGTGTGTGTGTGTGTGTGTGTGTGTGCGTGTGTGTGTGATTATGTATGCAGAAGCACAGAGGTATTCTTTTGGGCATAGGTATGAATTATGCATGGAGCAGAGAGAGATTTTGAAAATCTATTTCTTTCTCAGAGCCAATTACACTGTCTAGAGGCGCAACAGGGGAGCCTGAGCCTCCCCCATGATTGGGGGGGGCAACCTACTCCCCTACTGCTGGCAAATGCTAATCAGCAATTATACCTTGGTTTCCTGTTCCACAAGGCTAATATTATGTTTGACTGGTACTGATTTACATTAGACTAGAGGCTCAGCCCGTGTCGATGTCAGAAGGCCTGAGTGTTTGGCATTCAGCTGGACCGGCTAAAGCCTGAGGGAAGGAAAGAGGTGTTGTGACTTCAAAAAGCACACATCTGATCCAGCAATTTTAACCAGACTCAAAACAGCATCAAACACGTTTTGTTGTTATGGTTAGTGATCACTCTTAAAATATGTTAAATTAAATGTACACTAAGTAACGTTTTTATTAAAAAATTAATTTTCTTGAGCCAGTAGGTGCATAGATGACCCTATCCAAAAGTGAATGAAAAGTCTCTCCAGCCAATCTGCTGCCTGTGCGCAGACAATCACGTTTGCAGCTACAGCCTCTTCAGGTCAGTCCGCTGCAGTTCAAAAGGTCACCTATCCTTCAAGAAGCAGTGACGCTTTACAGTAATCCATGTTTGCACCTCAGGATAAGCAAGGTGAGCCTGGTTAGCATTTATTGTATTGTTTTCATCATGATGGAGCTTCAGAAGACATTTATCCGATGGAGCTAAGAAGAGAATAAGTGTGTCTGACCAAAATAGGTATCAAACAAGAGCTTTCAGAATGGCGAGAGCTCAAAGACGAACAAGGATTCAGACCTCGCAATCATGCTATTGCACATTTAGAGTATGCATGTTCTTACTTTTGCTGTGTTCCTAATAATTTTTAAATACCTATCTGTCATGCAGTAGTGGTCATGTCCCGCTCCACCTTCACACACACACACACACACACACACACACACACACACACACACACACACACACACACACACACACACACACACACACACACACACACACACACACACACACACACACACACACACACACACACACACCTCGCTCAGGCTGCAGGACACACACCTGTCTATCATCAAGGTGAAGTGTGTGGGGACATGGGTGGGTTCTCCTTAGCAAAGTGCCACAGAGAAGTATGTGATGTCTTTCGTAAGTGCCACAAGTTAGTAAACAAATGTGGGTGTGAGCAAGGAGCAAGATCTGTTGAGACAAGTGTGATAAGATGGTTAAAAGCAACGAGGGATGTTGAGGTATTTTGTACTTGGTACTCAGACTGTGGCTCTTATTACGGAAGAAACTTCATGCATGACAAGCATGAATGTGTCACCAAGCAAGGCGTAAGACCCAGGCACTATTCTGTCACAAAACTTCACACTCGCACCATCAGGCCAAAGGAAGGCTCTGTAGGTTGGCGTGAAAGTGACATCACTTCAGATGACCAGTCAGTCCATTGTTGACTGGGAAGTAGGGCTGAAAAAATTGGTCAGCTCTGCTCGAACAACACCAATGTAAATGCACCAATTAGGGGCCGAGTTGACCCTAGTGTAAAAGGGCCTTAACTGACCAATCACAAATTCCCTCACTTTTTTGTATTATGGTCTTATTGTCGTCATCATAGAAATATTTTCATGAACTGCAAGCTTCCCTTTTATTCATCTCATAAATGTGTGTAAATAAGGAACAATAGTAAAACTGGTCTTCCTTGGTGGTTTACATTGTTAGTAGCATAAGAAGTAAAGTCCTGCTGGTCTCTGCGCTTCCTGCTGTACCACCACTGAATCTCCAGGGAGTACGAGGTGGAACCCGCTCCCCGGAAAGAGCAGGCCATCTCCACATCCTCACCACTGTGTGTTGTGATGTCACTTGGCACCTCTATGAAGAGAGCTGCAACACAGAGAAGAAGAAATGACAGAAGAGCTGAAGAAAAATAATAAGCTAAAGTTTACCACTGAATAATGTTTGGCTTCGTCTCGCCATCGCTACTGCTGTCCCTATGTTTAAAGTCCTGGAATTGTTATGTTACATCAGTACAAGATTTCCATTTCTTCAATGGGACAACACAGTAGAAAACATTTTAATAAATACATTTAAGAAACGATTCAGTTGCTGGTTTCTCTTCCTTGTTTGAATGTGATTCTGAGTTTAGACATAAAGCCTCAAGGAAATAAAGTAGGAAAAAGAAGGTAAGAGAGGATTTTGGTTTCATTGATGTACCACGCGTCAGAGCTTTGGTGCTCGGCTCCTTTTAGCCCAAAGTCATCAGAAAATGACATAATGTGGGAATGAAACCTTCAAGGGGTCAGAAAACTGGAGTGAAAACAGACGAGGGCAAAGATCAACAGTGACGAGAGTTCAGAACAAGGACTTGGGAAGGATGGATGAAAAAAGAGAAAGTGATAGAGAAAACATTGACACAAACAGCAACATAATCACAAAACCTTTAAAGGCACACATGGTCAGACCTGGCAACCCCGCGAGCTAAAAAATTGTAAACAGTAACTATGTCCCTCTTTAGCTTTTCTAAAAGGAGAAAAACTGACTACTGCCCAGCTAGCTGAGAATGAGATCTGTTACAATGTAACTGTTGGGGCTTTAAATATCCCCTCAACTGGAGCCAAAGTTAGTTTTCCTCTGCAGAGGAATGCGGTGACACTTTCACACGAGCACTGAAATCTCACTTCCTCATGCAGTCCTTTTATTGACAGAGAGGTTAATTTACATAAGCAAAATGTGCTTCACAAATGTGGAATGACCTTCCAAGCAGAAGTGCGGCTTCCTTTTCAATTTTCAAGAAACTCCTGAAGACCCTGCTCTTCAGACAGCATCTTCTTAACTAGCACCCTCCCTGCACCCGTCCCCCCCTCTACTGTCCACTCCTTGTTCCTCTCCATGATTGATGTCAAGTTGTTGCTGTTATTGTTGTTGTTAGGCTCAAGGGCAACATGCCGATTATCACTTGTAAGTCGCTTTGGACAAAAGCGTCTGCTAAATACATAAACATAATAAGGAGTTGTCAGGGCGTTGCCTGCACTCAAACAGAAAACCACCTCTACATGAGGTCATGGAAAAACCATGCGTGAGTGTGTAGCTGCAATGGTATCTGTGAAACGAGAAAGTCCTGTTTCCTGTTTACTAAAGCCTAAATTATACTTCTCCGTTTGCGTCGGGACGGACGCACGCAACGCCATTAACCATCCTTGCGGGCCTGCTGGAGAGCCCTCGCAAGGACCGACAGAGTCGAGCTCTCTTTTCTAAACATCCATCCATCGAGACAGAGAACGCAAGCTTGTGATTGGTGAGGGCACCACTGTCGTTTACACGGCCACCATTGCGCCTTCGAAAACAAAGAGAGCCGAGGATATCTAGCGGCAGACACGGAGCAGCTTGAAGAATACCTCGCAGAAAAACTCTAAAATATGAACGTTTTATTCCCCCGTGACTGGAGGAGAGAAAAGCAAGCAAGAATTTTATTCGTGGATGCAAATGATGGGAAACCTGGGTTTAGAGGTGGCGAGTGTAAGAAGAGGTGGAGGAGAATGAGGGACATATTTGTCCGTGTTAAAGAGCCTCTTAAATACAAAAATAAAATAAAAACACAAAATAAACACACTATCTTGGACTGGATACATGACAGGATACCACAGAACAGCGCTACGCCCTCTGCTGTCCTGGCGGAGAATTGCTTGGCAACATCTCCCAGAAGACGGAGAAGTATGAGGGCAAAATGTTTCAGTCCATCCATGCGTGTCTCTCCCTTTTGGAGTAATAATTTTACAGAAAAAAAATCATAATTATTGTATCTTTAAGAAAGATGTTCTAAAGGTCAGATGTAAAACATCTTTTTTCTACTTTCATTATTTAGTCTTTCTTCTATTTGCTGTTTTTCTGCCTCTTGTTAAGTGAACTGTGTGTGTGTGTGTGTGTGTGTGTGTGTGTGTGTGTGTGTGTGTGTTTGTGTGTGTGTGTGTGTGTGTGTGTGTGTGTGTGTGTGTGTGTGTGTGTGTGTGTGTGTGTGTGTGTGTGTGTGTGCGCACGCGCACACGTGCATGCTTCTCTGGCTCTCTCCTGCAGGGTCTGGCAAGAAGCAGCATTTCCAAAGTCCTCCAGGGAACTAATTAGATCTCTTGGAGCCTTGCCTGTTGGCTCTGCCCGTGTTCATCATTCAGATAGAGCTTCTCTCTCGCTCGCTCTCTGTAAGTGTGTATCATAGTGTGTATTGTGCTTTGTGGCTTGAATTCATCACAATGCGCATTGATGTAGTTATGAAATGCATTTTCGGTATTAAGCTGTTTTTGGTGAACACATCTTTTTTATTTTCTGAGAAAAAGTCAATTATTATGTATTAGTGGTGAAAAAAAACAAGAAAGTGGCATTAAACTGTATTTTCCCTACTTGCAGTGTAAAACATTGTTATTTCCCTCCATATAGTACTTATATTTATTTTATGTAAACAAATCAAAGGGAGAGCACTGTTGGTTGGTCATGTTGATAAAGGTTTCAGACAATTTTCTGTATTTGAGTTTACAGTATGTGAAAATATGTGAAAAAAGTGGAACTGACATGCCTGGTGCAGGAGTCTGCTTCCAGCATGTTTTAGATGAATGCAGCTGATTTGTTTGATTTAGTCATGAATCACTCCTGTAGAAGCCAATGAAGGCTGAGGAGACATTTCAGCAGTTAAAAAGATGAAAGGACAGAGAAGAGATACTGTAGGTTTAAATTTTGGTTCTACTAAACACACCAGGGGGTGCTAAAAACAAGCCAAACTGCCTAGTATCCCTTTATTAGGCCGGGGACACACTGGCCGCGGAAGCGCCGCGAAGCGCCGCGAAAATGGGACCACCTTCATTCGGCGCCCTTGTTAAGCTATTCTATAGACCACATGGGCCGCCGAAGCGCCGCGAATCGCCTCGCGCCGGCGCGCGCCGGCGCTCCATCCCGCGCCGTGCAGCGATCATTTCGGCGTTGGCTCTATTTTTTTCGCGAGCCGCGGGTGAATCGCGTCAATTCTGGCAGGAAGTCAAACGTAGACATAAGAGGCAGGCCGGTAAAGTTAACAAAATAAAGCATTTCAAAATAAAATTCCGCAATAGTCAAATGTGTTCGTAAACAGACACTGCAGAAAATCCACACGAACACGCACACACATACACACACATCGAACTTGTGTGCGTGTGTGACCACGTGAAGGGGGGAGTGGTTTTGGGTGTCTTTTCACCGGAGCAAACAGGACAGAGAGGCAGAAAGTCTGAGGCAAGCAGTTAGGATGGATGACTTTAAATTAATTATGGAAGTTGAGAAACACAAGGAGCTGTACGACCCCCGAAAAACATGATTGTTTACGTACCCATGTCGGAAGAAACTGCTAGGATACAGCTGCAGAATTGGAGCGGGTTCCAAGAGATTCAACTGGCAGAAACAACTCATACCATAGGTTCACACACACACGCGCGCGCGCGCGCACGCGCACAAACACTCAAACGTAGGAAAAGAGCTGAGAAAAGGCAGAGAGGAAATGGAGGACACCAAGTGTTTAAAAGAAAAACTACAGCTGAGCCGAGGCGCGCCTCGACTGGGGCGCGTCTGATCTGAACTGAGGAGCGGCGAGCAGCGGCCGAATTTCGTGAGCGATTCGCTTCTCGGCGCTTCGCGGCGCTTCCGCGGCCGGTGTGTCCCCGGCGTTAGAGGCAGTATGTCAGGACTCAGGTATCTCCCGGCTGACCTTCGGACCACAACTCCCGACATGCCCCTCGTGGGGAGCTCCCAGCGTGCTCCTCGCGGGGATTCCCTCCACGTCACAGCCAAGCAAGGCTATATATGGAAGACGCCGTGACCGGCTTCTCATCTCAGTCATCGTTTCTTCCTCACAGAGAAATAATAAAACTGTTAAACGTCTCACCTTGTTCGTCTCCTTCATCCAGTCTGATCAGCCTGACAGGATGACTGAGAGCCAAGTAGATTCGACGGAGATCGATCGTCTCCGCCACGAGAACGTGCAGCTGCGTTCCATGGTAGATCAGCTCAACACCAAGGTGAACTCCTTGTCCGACCACACCCTGCGTCTATCCACGGCTCTCACGGCTCTCCAACAACAGGCAAACGATCAGCAGCAACAGATCGCTGCACTCCAGCAGCCAACCCGCTCTGCTACTAGGGAGGAGCCCCACTTCAGCCTGCCGGAGAGGTGGAACGGGGAGACGGGGAGCCCCGATGGTCTGCTCGCCACGCTGGACATGCAGTTCGAGTGCCAACCTGGACGCTACCCATCTGCGTGCTCCCGAGTGGCGCATCTCACCTCCCTGCTCTCCGGACGCGACGCGGAGTGGGCTGCTGCGCTTTACAATTCCAAATCCCCTGCCTGCAACGACTATGCTGCGTTTGTGTCCGCTCTCCGGAAGACCTTTGTTCCCCCCAGCAGCGAAGTGGGAGCAGAGACACGCCTTCTCAAACTCCGCCAGCGAGAACGCTCGGTGTGCGCTTATGCGTCGGAGTTTCGCACCATCTCCGCCAAGCTGCAGTGGAATGACTCCGCTCTGCGGGCCGCCTTCCTGGAGGGGCTGGCACCCTACATCCGTGATGAGTTGGCGGGAAGCGAGCTGCCTCAGACCCTGGATGAGGTGGTTGATCTGGCGCTGCGCATCGACCAGCGGGTTCTGGTTCGACCCAAGTTATCCACGCGTCCACCCAGGACGCCGGTGCCTCGCCCTCGTTCACCCACGCCAGCTCCTGTACCCATGCTGGCGGAGGAGCCCATGCAGCTCGGCCACCTTCCCCCCGAGGAGAGACAACAACGGTGGCGCGAGGGCCTCTGTGCCTACTGTGGCTCTCCCGACCACCGACGCCTGGACTGCCCGCTACGATCGGGAAACGGGGGGCCCCACTGA